CCGGAAACTGAAGACAATTTTAAGAACAACCCGATCTGAATAAAAGAAAAACCATTTCGTTGATACTCACTACAGAACCGATTCATTTGTTCGGGTAAGTCAAATTGCACAAAGTTTTCAAAAAAAATAACAGAGGCAAAGCTGAACTTCACAAACAAATAAAAAAGCAGCTATCAAATGCAACAAACAAGAGAAAGAAAAAAATAATCAAAACATAAAACCTTTTTCCCTCAACGGACTCCTCGAATTTCAAATTTAGAGTGTACCTAGCTTAGAATGCACCTGGAACCTCCGACTGCAAGAAAATACAAAAATCTAAATCTCTAGAAAACAAACACCCTCGCCCAATGGGCCTTCAACCTGTCATTTAGAATCTAACGCCCTCACAACGTCTCTATATTTTCTGAATATGTACAGACCAATAATCATCAATAAAGCGGATAAAACATTTGCTTTTAATTTGTTAAAATTAGAATGCTATGCATCGAAGGTGTCAAAAAAGCAATTCTTGATGCGACTTCGGTTGGAAAAATTTAAGTGAATTCCTGAAAAGAATGAAGTGTTTGCATGAGTAGAAAAAGGGCTAAGCAAGAAAAGCTGAAAATTGCCTTCAAGATATAACAAAATTAGGGAGGCAAAATTATTCGAACTCCAACCTACTGTCTTAGAATCGATTGGCCTAAATGCTTAGCTAGGCTGTGTTGATTTCAAATACCCCTGCGCAAAGATGTTTTTAGATATCAAGAAGTGAAAATTGAGTTAATGAAGCAGATATCGCTATATATGCTGTTCATTAAACGCATAAACTTTGCACAAAACATTGTACTGCAATTTGATTGTACATTAAAAAAATTGGACTGTTATAAATTGACGCTCTGCAAATTTCAAGAATTTTTCATGGCTGATGTTTCGAAGAAACGGGCCCACTTGGAGAAAACTGCATCAACAGAAAATGTTTGTCCTGAATGATTGTTCTGAATCAATAGACTTGCTTGAAAAAACCCAAATGTGGCACTAAAAACCAATCATTTTTTGCACCAGTTGAACTGTGTTAATTATCATTATTCAACTTCCAAATATTGAAAGATCTATAGGAAAACTTTAAAAATACAATATATCTAACAAAAAATGTCGCAAAACTCAACGAGGCAAAAAAAAAGATTTTTTTTTGAAAAAACTCAAAAATCGAGTTTCCAAGTAAAATATATCAAATTCGTGTTTTTTATAAACTACAAAGATAAGTTATAAAAGTATGTTTTTGGCACAGAGGCGAAAGTGACCATCGCAACACTTCCGATACAAAAAAGCCTAAAATCAAAAAATGATGTTTCAAAGCAAACAAAAAAAAACTACAACGAATTCTGTTGAAAAAAAACCGTAGGCTTCAAAAATTAGGAACATTTTATTGCAATTGTGTGTAGAATCATTTTTTTTTCAAAAACAAAAAATGGAAACGCTCAGAAAACTTTTTCGTCGAAAAACCGCGACCCAAAAACTCTTAAAGGTACTTAAACGTTTGGTTTACAATCTTGGAACCAAAAAAACTGCATCTCAAACAAGAAAAATAGGCTATAAACATCAACAGGAACATTTTCTTTTAACTGAGATCAAAAATAAATAAAAAATTATAAAAACATGAATGCCAAGATTCAAACAATTTCACAAAATAATCGACAAAGTCTAAAATTCATAAAAATAACCCTATTACATCAAACGTATCAAAAATGATTTTGATACTGAACGTTAACAGAGCTACATTACAACAGCAATAAAAAGATAACATGAAAAAAGACGCCCATAGAGAAGTAAAAACACGAAATTTTTGAAAACACTTTTCAAAAATTTATTCCAGAAAGAACTTCACTCGCCACATCACTGCTTAGTCAAATTGCAAAAAAAAAAAATTTTAAGATATTTTCAAAAAGCATTTGAAATGTTAAAAGCATACAACCGTACGTTTTCATTAACTTGAAGCAAGTTTAACTTAATTTTCTCAGCCCAAAAAACATCAACAGATGAAAACTTGAACTAATTCCACTCACTTTCAGAAAAAAATCAAAAGCCATGCGTTCGAAAAATTCCTTTTAAGTAGATTTAGAGCAGCTGTTCAACCACAGCTCTTGAACACACAACTTGGCTGCAAATGTTGCTAACAGACAGTCGAACAATTTCGATGAGCTATTGAGTTGTTTAATCATTTTTTAAATTCAGAAAAAATTTATCATGTTTAAGATGTTTGAAGTTCAAGAATCTCTATAGAAGGCATTTTTTAACACAGAGGCAAAACAGAACACGACAAAAACAACTCTATAAATAGCCCTAAGAAAAATAGAATTAAGCCTCAAAAATAGTACAAATTCGGCTACGTTTGAGATTTGAACCTGCGACCTAGAGATTAAGAGTCCCACCCATTAAAACCTCAGCCACGGATGCTTAATAGGTACCAAACACTTGCCACAAATAAAGCGAGAACAGATGCTACGCAATATCCAATGCTACAGTGAAATTTCCAAATAAGAGAACATTTTTACCGAGCACTTATATTTACGATTTAGGACAGAAAAGAGGTTCGTCACAATACACTTCGCTGATCGACAGTATTAGGAAACTAACCTAAGTTCAGCAATAGGTATTTTTTATCCCGGGAAATCTAGATATTAAAAACCGCTGTAAAATTTAAAACATTCTTTTTCGTTCACGGCACATACCAGTTTATTAGCGTAGAGTTCAACTTGCTGTCTACTTAGCCCATGAGTTTGAATTGGACGTGAAAAGAAATCAGACGTCAATCCACAAAAAAAAATTAATTTGAACGAGTGATTGATCACGTTTTAAGTCATGTGGTTTTTTTCAGTGAGTTCTAAAAAAAATAAGTAAATTTTTCGAGCATTAACAAAATAAGTGTCTTCACTTCGTTTATTAACATTTAATAAAAACGAAAATGTAAACAACCTTAAGAACTAGAATTTAGTCTCCTTAATCAACACGTTTAACGGAATAAGAAAAAACTTAAGAAAACTGTGCTGAGAAAAAATTCAATAACACCGTTTAGACAGAATTACCACGGAAAATTATTTTACGAAGACATCAAAAAATTGCACTGTTAACTAAGTGATAAAAACTTTTATTCTAAGCAAATACGGAACTTTTGGGAACAAATGATTGCTATATTTTCAGATTTGCAGCCATTTAATCTTCCTGCAATATGACTCAAACCATAATGCGACAACTCGCAAGAAGAGACAACTCACAATAAACGGCAACTCGCATTAAAAGACAACTCGCAAGATTCTCACCGCCGCAGTCGCGCCAACGTGTTGCGAGCTTGCCAACAGAGGGTAGGACTTTATACGAAATTTAGAGTCGGTTATCGCCGCGAAGCTAAACCGAGAAAATAAAATTTCTAATAGCTTCAAAAACTTGCGAGTTGTCGCTTTCCTTAAATTTTGCGAGTTGTCGCGGTACCGATTCAAATTGGAGCGAAACATGCAAGCTCTCGTGTAAAAAAAAACGAATTTTGTTATCAGGGTTTCACGACAGCATAGATCAAGCAACCTACATTGTATGCTTGCAGCAGTTTTTCCTTCCAACAAAGAACGATTAAAAATAAATTTTCACACGACTTCTGCACATAAGTTTCAACTTGTAACAAAAATATTTTACAACTTCCAGGTTGTTAAAACATTTAATATTGAGTAACTAACATAGTAGGCACACGTATCATAGTTAAGTCCAGGGGGCGGATCTAGGATTTTCTCGAGGGGTAAGCGGATTTTTAAAAAATGTTCGAAAAATTTGACCTTTTTGGTAGGTCGACAAAATTGATTTTCCGAGCTCTTCTAAAGCAGTAAAAAGACGGTGTTTTGGGCGAATTTTCAGCACCGCAGGCAAATTTTTGAAAAAACAAGTCAAAAAAGCCACAAAATAATCGCTTTTTTTGCGCGCACTCCCCCTCCCTCAAAGTTAGTGTATATTGGCACCACAGGCGCCTGTAGAAGAATTTTTGGGTCGGTCGGCCAAAAATGGATTTCTTAAAAAGTACCATTGGTGGGACCCTTTGGGTCGGCAGGGGGTCGAATCCGTGAGGGGAAGGGAAGCGTTCGCCCCCCTCCCTAAATCCGCTGGTGGCTACTTGGACAGTTACTGGATAGCCTTGCAAGAACGGTGAAGTTCGAAAAAAAATTGGCTTTGTAGGAAGTTTTGTGTATGTTGTGCAGATATCCCAAGTATCAGTATCCCCCCATCCCCTAAATCCGCCCCTGGTTAGGTCACAATAATTTCTTTTGATGAAATTGATGGACAAGTAAATTTTTGAAATCAGCACATGTATGTTTTTGCTGTTTATAAAAATATTTATAACTTTTATAAAAAATAATTGCGGAACCGATCACCATTTAGACGAATTTCACAGACACATCTATCATACTTGTACCGACATTGAGACAGCTATTGTTCGAGAAGTTCGCAAAAGGTACTTGTGAACCAAAAAACCTACCAGATACTCATTTTTTAGCTCTATTGTTCCAAAGTTTTAAGGTAAAATTTGGGTAAAAAAATACCCAAGTTTCCAGTTGTTTTAGCAGCTAAAAGTCTAAAAAATACTCCATGTAATTTTGATTGATTTCGTATCTCATATTTTTCATTAAAATTTGAAGATGCGAAAGCCTGTACATATTTTTAGGATAAGTTGAGTTTCCACAGAATTATTCGAATTACGCTAATCGCAAGCGTTCAAATAATCCAATTTTATAGCCAACACACAAGTAAAATTCAGAACTGAAAAGTCACTAAACTGACATAAAAATTTCTGAAGTTCACGTGTACCTTTTGGGCCTTCTGGAGCAATAGTTGCTGCTGTTTAATAGCTTAAACAGGGATCTTGTTAACTACCCCCCTCCCCCCTAGGATAATTTATAGAGAATTGCCACCCCAATAAAGAACTAGTTAAACTGTTAAGCATAAGAGTGAATTTTGTTCCTCGTAACGAATTATCCCTTTTGCAATAGGGAGGGGGGGGGGTAGTTAACAAGATCCTAAAACTGTCATTCAAATAATAAAATATCAGATAGCAACATTCAATATTATCTCATAATAGTCAAAGCACAGCAGCTGAACTATGATTCAGATCATCAGTAAAATTCGAGGTCGCCGTACATATTATCTTTTACTCGCTGTCGAAGCACAGGTGATGAATAATTTAGCATTTGGAGTCGAATAAGTTCAGTCAAGTGCATGTTTTTTTTCGCCTTTTTCAAACTGCGAATTTTTGTTTGTACCCAAATTAAATTTGCATCCGACTACAACAAGAGCGGCCGGAAAAAAGATAGATGTTTTATGTTGCAACACATATAATAGCTTGGAAACATTTAGCTGGGAAGGGGCATTTTTTGAAAATGTTAAAATTTTAAGCAAGATCAATCATTTGGACTTCGCCGAAATCTTAGATGAGCTCTGATTGGTTGGGAAAATTTTCCAAAACTGAATGATATTATTGCTTATTTCTACAGAATTTTGAAAAAAAGAGCTCTGATTGGCTGACAAAATTTTCGCGCATTCGATCTTTCGCGCATAATGGATTCCCTATTTAGTTTATAAGCGCACATTCGAGTTATCTTCGTTTTCTCTTCTGTTGTCGCCTTTGTTTTTCACCTGAATCTGCTACTGTTTTTGTTTCTGTTAATGGGTGGAGGCGGTGCGCAGAATATCCTGTTGTCGTACTGCTGCACTGCCTGCAGCATGTACTGCTCGTTGCTGATTAAGCTCTCCATCTTCTCCCTCTCCTGTTAATACGCAACGCATCGTCAAAATGAAATTATAAAGTAGTACATTGTAAAAAAAAATAACCATTGCAATGACTGTACTCTAAAATTTAATTAAAAAAGCTATGAATTATAACTAATTCTGTTTTTACTTCATTAGTGGTACCAAGGAAATTGATTTTAAAAGTAGGATCATAAATATGCTCAGCAATATCCTAGTTGGCCAACCCTTGAAGATTCAAATATTGTCGATTAAAAATCAGTCAACAAGTCTAAACAAAGGGAATGAGAAAGTGCATCCTAAATTAGAACAGCGGTTATCATCTTTTTTTTCCAATAAAATTTGGCAGGATGTTTAACAAACCACTATATCAACAAACCGCCATATTTTGACGCCGAAATTTCATCAGAATAACGTAAATTACAAACAATTGCCTAACAACAGTGACAATGTGTTGTTATGTTGCATAACAATATTAATTTTAGGCTTGTTGGAATGGTAATCAAATTTTCGGCTTGTTGGCCTACCACCAAAAAATTGAAATATATATATTTTTCCAAATACTGATTATGCATTAGCATTTCGCAATTCAATTTTGAGGATGCGCGTGAATGTATACCTGTTGGTTGCCGATGAACACGACTGAGCTGTGTTGTTTCCTGGCCCTTCCTCTGATCTGCACAAAGGCAGTGGTGTCCTTGGGAGCACTCAGGAGAATCACCTTCTCACAGCTGGGCACATCTATGCCCTCCTCCGCCACAGAAGTGGCCACGAAGATCTAAACAGTTTGCAAAACAGTCGAAAGAACTCCAACCTAGCAACCTTTACAATTTGACTTCTCTTGATCAAAAATTATTCGGCATTGAATTATCATTCGGTATTGGATTAGTAAAGTTTTATTCAATTTTTCATGTTCACGGAAATTGTACGCTCAACTTTGGCATAAAATTACCAAAGAAATTTAACCACAGAAAAATTAAACAAGTAAAAACGAACAAGGAAACCTAAAAAAATGATTGACTATTTCTTGAAGAAATTAATATATCACCTTCCCTTTAGCAAACTATTTTGAAATGAACTGTAAAAAGTCAAACCGTGGAAGTTCACATTTAAGCGTGAACGCTTTTTTTCTGAAAAAAATTCAACGCAAATCGATACAAACATGCACAAGAAGTTTACAGTAAAAAAAACAAAGCTAAAGACGCATAGAAAAATTGGCTGAATGGGAAAAATAACAAAAGATCACAAAAAATTTATTTTCAATTTTGAAAAAAATAACATCAAAAACCACCAAGTCGTCGAATTTTGTTTTAGTGCATCTAAATTAAACAGACGAGTGTATCTAAATAGTGTATATACATTATTACAGCTAGAGTACTACGAAAATTAAAAAAAAAACACTTAACTTAATATTTTAAGAAATAAACTACGCTAAAAAATTTTAGCTAAAAATATCAAAAAAAAACTTTTCAAGGTAACAAAAAAAACTGACCTAATTTTTGAAAAACGTCAACTTGCGGATTTCAAAGAAAGTATATATGACTTGAAAGCTCTTTGACGTTCCAGAAAAATTTATGATTGGCTTTTTTGATTCAATTTATCCGATTTAAGAAAAATGGATCAATAGATAAGTTTCTCATACCGCTGGAAAATCTAAAATCTAAAAATTAAAATCCACTTTCAAAACTAGAAGAAGTTTAAAATTATTCGCGCCATTCCAGCTTTCGTAATTGCAGAGCGCAATTTACCTAACTTTCAGCAGATGAATTTCAATTGAACTCAAAAAGTGCATATACAGGTAAAAGCATTCACATAGATGTATGAATGTACTTCTGTCGTTATAACAGCACTTAAGAACTTTTCCTTAAACAAAATAAAAACCATGAAAGCCTATATAATTTAAACTCATTTCGTCTTTTATACTTCATAGAACAAAATAGAAAAAGAGTGCCAATGAACTAGAGAAAACCGAAAAAATAATTGACTTTTAATGAAAAAATAACATCAACTTAAAGCTCTCTGATTTTTTTTTAAAACTATCAATTAAAGAAAGGGTCAATGGGTAATTTTTTGTTCCGCATAGCAATCTTCAGCTTAAAATCCACAACCGAGACTAAAACATCGTCAAATTTTTTCGCTCCATTTGCAGTTTTTATTCGAGCGTATTTTGCCTTCCTTTCAGTGAATGAATTGGAATCGAACTTCATAAAAGAACAAACCCCCAAAAATCGAACTGAAAAAATGTCGTCACTCGGTTCATGCACGCTTGAAAAATATTTGAAAACTCGTTGAATTCAAGACCAGGAACAAAAGTATGTACAAGTAGCGTTTTTAAGGCTTCCATAATACATCACACAGCTAAAGCGCATTAGGGTATTTTAATCTATAAGTATGTTCCAAAAGAACTCGAAAGAAAAATTCACCGAAAAAGGAAAACTCTGGCCCCTGATAATTATCAACTTTCATCGTGTTCTTATTTTTTTAGCCCCCGGTCCTGCTCCATGCAGGACCATCCGTGGGGGAGGGGGATGTCATCCATTTTGCCCATTTTCATCGAGTAAACACCTTTTGAAACTAGTGCAACTGTCTAACCTGTTTGTTCTTCATGTCGATGAGTGCCTGGTGTTGTTTCCTGACAGACATGCCCTTGACTGCACTGTTCGTGCCCCCATGGCCAACAACACAGCCCACTTTAAGACCCAGCTCTGAAAACAGAAAGAATAAACAATAGAGCCCACAGAATCTGAAGCTGCTCGCAAAAACTGGCTAGAAAACAACAAAAAAAAAACATTTTTTAAATTTGTCCCTGGCCCTACCCACTGCAGTGCCTTCCTGGGGAAGGAGATGTCATATATTTTGCTGTACTCGTTCTCACCTTGTGGATAGAGAAAACATTGGGAACCCGCTGATCGGGACAGAAGGGGGATGCGAACCCACGAGCCTAACTCACCACCTCTTTCAAATTACTCTCGAAATTGCCAAAAAATTGAAACCGCTGAACTTGAAACTAAAAAATTCTCAACTTTCTGAAAAAAAAACCTAGCCAATTGAAAGTTGGAAAAGAGTAATTAAGGCATGGAAACATATAAAAAACTGACATGTTTTTTGAAGAAAAACCAACTTTCGAATTAAAAAAAATAGATGCCCTTAAAGCACTTTGAGTTTCAAGAACAATTTATGATTGCTGCTTTTTTGAAAAAAAATGACCCAATTTGGGATAACTGATCAATAATTAGGTTTGAATTCCACAGGAAATCTGAAAATTAAATTCCACTTCCGAAACCAGAAGTCGATCACTTTTTCGTGATCTTCACATTTTTGCTGTTCGATAGTAGAGTTTGCCTTACTTTTAACAAAAAATGAACTGAACTTACAAAGAAATCGTAAACAAGCCAAAAATCAACTTAAGTCAACTGCGAAAAAGTAAATTTGAGCCTGAAAACAAATTTTAAGACTTTTCTTGAAAAAAAACTTAAAAAATCATCAGCACCTATGTAAGAGTGAGAGCTATGTTCATCGACTCTTAAACATAACCACTAGACTAAAGAGGATGCAGTACGAATACTTCCACACATGATAGACACAGAAAACAGATCTTCTGAAAATGAAATTCAAGAGCCATTTTTTCTTCTAACAAACAGGCCTTTAGCGTCTTAAAAATTATAGAACTACTTTGATTAAGACACAAATTCGAGAGTAAAACTGTTTTAAAATGGCGGTAAAGGCGTATGTGATACTAGCAGCAAAGGCGGGTATGCATGGCAGCCAAAGCGCAATTCTACCTCGCACATTTTAAACTCGATATCGAAGTTTTTTTTGGATTACTAGACAAAATAATAGATATCGTAAAACAGTACGAAAAAGAGAACCTGTGTAGAATTCATGAGTTTGGTCTATAAAAATGGCTAGCTATATGCAAATCAAATTACGGGATCGAATGTAACTTTGAAGCATGCATTGAGTTTGGCAGATAGCAAAAAAGCAAGTAAAACGAGCTTAGTAAATAAGTCGACACTCTCCCAAACGCTGCAGCTAAGCAAAATAATATCGGCTTAAAAAAATGCGACTAATTTAGTGAACTAATTTTTAAAAGCATTACAAATAGCCGGCATCTTCCAAAAAAGTTGTCCTCTGTAATATACTAAGAAAGCGATCGGCAAATAATGCGGATGATTTTGCAGCAAAAAAAATAAAGCGGAAAAATTACGCCGAAATTTTTTCATCCAAAATTTGAACTACCAAAGATTTTTCTAAATTGGTAATCATTAGCGTCGGCAACTAGCGAGGCAAAATTCCAGCTGGAAATAAAAACGCAAAACCGAAACACAGCCAACAGACAGAGATGTCTGAAAACAAGTCCATTTTTGAAACTAGAGGTCATTCAGATTTTTTCGCGCCGTTTGATCTTGTTATTCGAGAGCTGAATTTTATTTTTATCAAACGAATTTCAATTGAACTTGTAACGGAAACAAAAATCAACCGCAAAAAATTAGAAACGTATTGAAATTTTCGTTCCGGCCATTGAAAATGGGAAGGAACTTTGGATTCGGGTGTTTTACTTTGTTTTATTTTCCACACAAAATTAGGTACCACAAATAATCATCTGAATGGGCCGAATGAATTATTAATTAAAGTCTTTTTAGTCGTGATTCGAACGACAAATTTTAAAAAAATTTCCCAAGATTTGAGAAAAACTAGTTTACAATTTTCGATTTTTAGTACAATTTCGAGCAAGTAAAGCGATTGAGTAACGATCGTTACATGGAAGCTCAGTTTAATTTAGATTTTGAGGCCAAAAAAAAACTCAATTTTATAACAGAAAAAAAAACTAGTTTTAGATTTTTCATTCAGTGCTTTTTCGGCGATAAAGGTTTTCTCAAAAAAAAAAAATTAAAAACGTGGCACAAAAAATTCGAAAATTGGTATAAAATTTTTCCTTTTTTGTTTGTCATTCAATTTCTTGCAACAAATTTTGCCGATTATATCTGAATCAGTAGTTTTCTACGCTTTTGTATAGTTCTAGAATCACACCACGCATTAAAAACGACATTAATATCAAGAAAAGGAACAAAAAAAAACATTTTTTTTTGTTTTTTTATGAGTATGGTCAGATTATTCTGTGCTACTTGCACAGCAATCAGCTATCCTAGTTTTGTTTTGATATTAGACGTATAACCAATTGCAACTTTAAGTTTGAGATCGTAATTCAACGTCTATCTAGCAAACAAACTTGAAAAGGGCTTAAATAGGAACAAAAACTCAAACTGCCAAAACATGAACATAGCCAATCGAAGATTGGAAAAAAATAATGAACGGAAAAAAAACATAGCCAACCGAAAGTTGGAAAAGAGTGAAATGAAATTGAAACAAAAACTGACTTAAATTTTTTTTCAAAAATCTTTTATTTATGATGGACAATTTTTCGTTTACTAACCCAAATTGAAAAAACTGGATCAACAGGCAAGATATTTCACTTGGATATCTGATAATTAACTTCCATTTTCGAAATTAGAAGTCGATCACGTTCTTCGTGACCTTTACTTTTTGCTGTTCGATAGTGGATTATGCCTTTCTTTCAACAATGGAAATGCACTGAACTTAAAAAGAAATCACAAGTCAAAACCGAGAAAACTGAAAACTAAGCTTGAACAAATTTAAAGACTTTTTCCCGAAAAAAAAATCAGCAAGACCTATATAAAAGTCCTCACTACGTTCATTACTCTTAAAAATACACTAACTTTGTTGAAAAAAATATCAGTTGTCGAATTTCAAAGAAAAAAATAGATGCCCTTCAAGCTCTTTAAATTTCTAGAACGATTTATGACTGGCGCTTTTTTGATAACCTTAACCCAACTTGAGAAAACTGTATCAACAGGTAGAGTTTTTTTTCCGCTGGAAATCTTAAAATTAAATTCCACTTTTAAAACTAGAAATCGTTTACGAATTTTCGCGCCATTTGCACGTTCGTATTTGTAGAGTGCTATTTACATCACTTTTAGCAGATGAATTTCAATTGAACTCAAAAAGTGCATATATACCTAAGTGTATCAACATTTTAAGAATTTTGCCTGAAAAAAATACAAACAAAATCAGCAAGACATATATAAGAGTCTTCACTACACTACGTTCATTAATCTTAAAAATCAGTGTGTTCAATTTCAACTCGCTTATCAGTATCAAGACTTCAAAAAAAATTCCTGGTAAAATTATCGTATTCTATCATATTCTGGTAAAACCATCCAACGCAACGTTCAGATCAGAGCCAAGCCAGCTAAAACTACCCCGACAAAATCCACCTTGTGCTTTAAACACAGAGGCGAAGCTTCCCTTCGCAAACACTTGCGAGAAAACGACAATAAGCAGCTCTATACAGTGCAATAATAAAAATTAGAAAAAATCCTCGAATTAGCAAAAAGTGGCCTACCTCTGATATTCCAACCAGTGACCAGGAGAGCCACGGACTGGTCCAACCAGAACCAGTCTCACACACTAACTAATAAGCCACTGAAGCTTAACAGGTACCATTAACTACTCAGTCACAAAAAGCAGAGAACAGATGTTATGCAATTTCCAATGCTACCGTGAAATTTCCAAATAAGTTAACACTTTTATTTGCGAGTTAGCATAGAAAAAAAAGAAGTTTCGTAAGCAAAGTACTATGAGGTAACATCGTCGAAAAACTTAAAGTGAGAACAAGCAGAGAAAACAAGCAGAGAAAAAATGACAGATATTTACCTGTTCAGAAATATTAGCCGACAGGTTGCAAATAGACATAGTAAAGGCAGGAAACTTGTTAGCCGTTCGAAAAATGACATAATTTTGTCAGATAAAATTCGATTACGGAAAATTCAATGTTCAGATGTGATAATGCTTGCCAAACACAATATGCAGATTCAGAGACAATTGCTTTACAATATTTGAGCAGCTCGATTACTTAGCATGATTTTCAGCTCAACTTTAACCCACCATGCGAACATAAAAATTTTCCTCTTGATTTTAAAAATAAACTTCTTACTTTCAAGCAACAAATCTTTGGAGAGAACCCTAGTCAAGGAGAGGGCAAAACAACGAGTGGTCACGAGAATCAACAGGAACTTCTGATCCATTACTACCGGTATATTTCGCGATGGCTCTCCGAAAGTGTCTCTGATTTCATCTATAATGCTGTGGTAAGGAGCGTCCAGCGAATTGAGATCATTTTCAGCTCTTTCTCTAAATTCCTAGAACATAGGAACGTGGTCAACAAAAAATTGAAGTGTTCATCAATTCGAGAAGCTCAAAAACAATAAATGATTTTTTAAAAGCATTTTCCGAAGATAAATTATAAATGTCCGAAGATAAATTATAAAATTTTTCGAAACTCTTAAGCCTTTTATGATTCATATTTAATTGATAGAAGTAACCAAATTTAGGAAAACTGATCTATATAAATTTTCGCTTAAGCTACGAAAAATAAAAATGTAAATCATGTTTTGAAACTTTTCCACATTTGCACTTTCGCAATTCGAGAGAGTTTTTTGCCTTCTTTTTACCAAATAAACTTGAATTGAATTTAAACAGAAAGCAAAATTCAAACCGCGAAATATCAAAGTAAAGCTCAAAAAATATTTAAAACTTTCTCCTGAAAAAAAAACACAAAAAAAATTGAAATAACCTGGCTCCGTTTCTTAAAAATTCACTTTTGTAATCTATAAAGTGTAGTCAATGAAGCTTTTTGACAGCACAACAGTAAACTAAATATACCAAGAAGACATACGAGCAGCTACTTAATTTAAAGAGATTAAGCACTGACATTCAGAACAGAATCTCTCTGCCGCTCAGTTTCTTCTAGGGCAACCGGACATGCGGACGAGGGGGTTGGAGAGGCCAGACCTTCGAGGAGAAAAAACGCCTCGTACAGGCTGACAAAGCGGGCGAGGAAGATTGTTTCGAAAAGATCTAAGAGAAAACCGAGAGGTCCCATCAGGGGATCATCTTCGCCTGCATTACTCGAAGACTGCACCATGCTCTCTATGAGTCTCTCGCACTCCTGGTCCATTGTAAACAGCCACGACTCGTCGAATGGCTTTCTAGGCAAGCATCGACAACTACACTTTTTGATACTAACACATGCGAACTGAAAACGCTTTCACATTTTCAATTTTAACTCGGAAAAATATAAAAAGTATTTACACTTAAAAAGATGTTTTTGTAAACCTGTAACAGATTAGTAATTAATTTGGGAAGCTAAATTTTGCAGCCTCTTCTATCCTAAATCTTTAATAATCCACAAGGAATTTAGGAAGTTTAAACTCACTTTAGAAAACAAAAGTCATTCACGTTTCTTCGGGCCATTTTGCTACTGAAAAGCGTAACTTAACCTTCTTTTGCAGAAGAAATTGAACTGAAACTTACAAAGAAATCAAACACCGAAGATGCATATGGTTGAAACAATCTGTGCTACTTGAACAATAAGTGAATTTTTTTTTATTATTCCGACCTCAAAGTGAGAAGGAAGTAAAACTTCGAGTACTTTTTTCAAATGAAATCAGGACATCGTAAGAGGTTGAAAAATATATCGACCTTAAATTTACACAAATGCGAAGCGGAATTTCGCCCTACTTGCGATGAAAAAACATTTGCTAGTGTTCCGGCATTTAAAAACGGCCATGCAAAAAGACTGAGATAAGCTTCATATTTTTCCAAAACATGTAGGTTTTTCGAGATTAGCCACAATTCTACGAATTTCCAGCACACTCATAATTCAACAAGTTCATCTAAAGCGAAGTTTACAAAACAATAATCGCATGTTTTTAGGTTTGTAAAATTGAGCTCTTAAAAAACTTTGTATTCCCGCCAACATTTAGGAGTATATTGGTTACCGCAAAAAATCCATATACTTTTGCTATCATCCCGTCAAAAAGCTACATTCCGCCCAGATGGGTACTAAAAACTATTTGGGCAAAATGGCGAGGCCAAGACAACTCCGGGAAATGACCAATATACGAGCTGTTTAGCTCATCACGGAGAAACGCGTTTGTGCCCCAGTTTATGAACTTCATGTGTTTTTTTGGTTATTTTTCGTTTTCTTTGGTTCACTATATTTGGAGGCGTCTAACCTTTTGCCCACTTGACAGAGGTCTGTGATCTTCTTCGTGAGTCTGACTGACATTGGACCCGTAGACAGATTGTCTGCTATAAACACGTCTATCACAACTGCCGCTGCTTCTGCGAACTCCAGGTAGTTCTGAGAAGTGTTCTGCATTTTGTAACTAATGTTAGGCATCACCACATACTCTGTCAATTCCTCTTTATCCCCCGTAACTAGTCGAGCTCTTCCGAAGATGTTCAGTCTCTGTTTTAGCACCTCCATCGTCTTCTCAGCTCCTGTCTTGTCTATGGCCGGACTCGCAGTCAGACCTACCAGACGTACACACACGAATTATCATAAAGCAGAATTTAGCTATTTTATACCAATTTCGAATTGACTTTTGACAAACTAGAAAAACCTGCAGAATTTACAGGCTGAGGCTTTGTTCACACGAGCCGATCGAAATGATTTTCCTTTTATATTATATCCTTAAAATTATAAACAGCCAACAGAAGATTGGATTATGAATAAATCAGGTTCAAGAATTTGAATTTCAAGATATGTCCATGATTGGCACTTTTTTCTGAAAACTAGCCCAACTCAAGATGACTGGATCAATGGGTAAACTTTTTACTCCGATGGGAACTCTTAAATTTAAAACCCACTTTTAAAACTAGAAATTGGTCACATAAATTTTGCGCCATTTTCGCTTTTATAATTGAAGAGCGCAATTTACTTAACTTTCAGCAGATGAATTTGAATTGAACTCAAAAAGTGCAAACTGTTTTTTTTTCTCCAGACAAACTTCGTCTTTGTTCAATTTTTGAACAAAATTTTTTTATCATCCCAAAAGTATATTTGCCCCAGGTTAAAATTTAAACAGATATTTCGCCTGTAATTTTTTTCGTAAAGTTATGGGAGTTTAAAGATAACCAATTCAGCCAAATTGTGATAATTAACGCGCGATATACTTCGTGCCATTAAGAGGTAACCGGATATTTAATCCGTCTTAGAAATCGTTTCCAATTGAATTAAGGCATGCTTTTTGGTCTAATTAATAATGATAGATGCTAAATGGTTTTCGAAATGGCTTGTGGGGGATGGTTTTCGAAAAAAAAAAATCTTTTTTTTTCAAACTTTTCATCAAATTTTTGAAGCGAACTCTATTCCATAAAGGTTAAAAGGCAGTCAAAATGGTAGGCCTTACCCTGATACGAGCAGACTAGTTGTTCCGACTTTTGATGAAAATGAGGAATATAAGGTCGGGGTGATTTTTTTTTAAATTCAAAAGAATTTTTCCCCCGTGGGATCGAACCCTGGAGCTTCATAGGGCCCGCCGAATTCCTACTATGATTTACGCTTGCGAATTATCTCGCACTTCAAATCGCTCCAAAATGAACTGACGCAAGGTCAATGGTTTTATTAATTCCATACACAACTCAAATTTTTAAATTTGATTTTATCAGTCTAAAAGTGATAGTTGGTCAATATTTAATTTATCAAAAATTATTCGAGACCAGTTTATAGGTAGTCGGAACATTCAGGGCTTTGCCCTGATACGAGCAGCCTTGTTCCGATATATGCACGATTTCTTTTGTTAAGAAATCCAGTTTTTTGTGACATGCGACAATACACTGATTCCCTATTAGCTTTCTAAAGAAAAACCAGAAACCGCATGACAAAAACCAACCTACGCGAAAGTGGTTTCTCAATCCTTGCGGCTATCGGATAAAATCAATACACAACAAAACCGAAAAAGGTACCCAAAAGGTCATTACAAAAGTATTGATCATCTGTAAAAAAAATCATCACTAAATAGTCCCAAGTGTTAAATTTGATGAAATTTTTTCAGCATTTTGTTCGTACTTAAAAGACTCTTGTACATGACCGACTCACTGAATGACAAAAGTTGCTGTCCATTTGGAAAATGAATTGAACAAAAGTCAAAATTAAGGCACCAAAACAGAAAATGAAACGTGACAACTTTTCACTATTTTGAATACAAAAACTCTAAGACAAAGGCGAACCTGCGCTTCGCTGCAATTGAGGCACAAAAGTATATGTTCAAGTTAAAGCCATTATATTGAAAGACTATTTCAACTGGCGTTACCTATGAGTTTCGGGTGTGGTTTCTCCGCATGCACAAGGGGCAGATGGAACTCCTGCACCAAAGCATTGTAGGGGTGTTTGGCGTCGCAATGATGGACTTCGTCGAACACAACACAACACACATCTCCCCAATTGAATGCCTCCCGTCTCTGGAGCCGCACGCGCAGGAACTCTAAGCAGGCAAAACATTCACATAGCAATAAGGATAGTCGGTTGCTGTACAAGTAGCACAGAAAGCTCCGACCACAAAAAAAATAAAACAGCTCATTCTTTTCTTCAAATTGCGTCGTTTTTTTTAATTCGTGGTGTGATGAGAATCTAAAGGAAAGCCTAGAATTTTGATACTAATAATAGCTTAGATGCATTTGACAACAGTTTTCTCGCTAAAAAGAAGATTTTTTTTTCAATTTTGTTCCAAAGAATGAGTTAAAAGAAATTTCGAAATATAATTTACTACAAAAAAAAACATAATTTTTCATGAGATAACTTGAATTATAAGCCTATTACAGGCTGCCCGTTTGCTTTAAATAAACTTTTTCAAGATTTTCAAAAGTCGTTCGAATCACGACTGAAAGGGCTTTGATATGATGTATCACTCGATTCAATTCGATTATTTGTGGTACCTGATTTAGCGTGGAAAACAAAAAAAAAGAGAAAAAAACTATTATTTTTAATGATCGGAACAAAAACCGTCTTATTTGTCTTCTAAAATTATTTCTAGGGTAAACTACAGTTAATTCAACCTATATTAAGTTTGAATGCGGCAAGTTTTGCCTCTCACGCATTTTGCACTTCGAAATTCAGCGGCAAAAATATAAAAGGCGAATATGCGAGTGGGACGAAAGTGCCATGAAAACTAAAGGGGGCTATATGTCTGTAGACCATTGAGTTTACTTCGCAATTAACTTTTGCTCCTTCTTTATTGGATCAAAGCATTTATTCTAAGTAAGCAAAAGAGTCCCAAAGTTGAAACGCTCAATAATAAAACATTCAAAAAAATTTTCTACTGCTGCTTGAAACACAATGGACTTTTCAATTTACATCAAAAGACGGCTCCAAGCGTCAACTTTTATATTTTGATTTGTTTCAAGAGTGATTATATCAGAGAGAGTATAGAGGCTTGATTACAGCGACTTTTGAATTACAAAAATTGGAAAAAAGGTAATTGCTTCGGCAACATACTCCCGTGGACGCAAACTTTCTAGAAACGGCGCAAAAAGACGTATCAAAAAAAATCAAAAAACCTTAAAAAGAGCGGTAGCGGGGCGGTCGAATGTGCCGTAAGCCGTTCTGACGTTCACCACTCGGGCTCAGCCATCTTTTAGTGGGTTTTCCTCCTCTACACGTCCAATCTACCTGTCCAATACCCGTTGCTTCATCACCTGTTGAACTTGGGTCCATTTATTGTATGTCAGTGGTACGCTGTCGTCAAATACTCTCGGTGAAGGGCTGCTTAAGTGTCGTTGAATGAGAAAGTGATTTGTTGTCAGTCAATTTCTGGGTAGTCCGCTACAATTGTCAGAGGTCTCGAATTCGGTATAATTTGGATTAGAATTGTCTTAAGACATCAAGTGTGAGCTTTCGCGATCCAAGAATGATGAAGATTGTTCTCTGATTTACCGTTGTAGTTTGAAAGACCAGGCTCCAGTGTCAGCTATTTTCAGGGCGTCTTTTAGTTGGTTGGAGGCTCCAAAAAAATTATTTATTCGTTGTCGCTTTTTTTTTGGCTGCTGCTTCAAATGGCTCGATTAAAGCGACTTTTGATGAACAAAGATTTAAAAAAAAATCCCTTCTAGCTGTAAACCGACTCATTGCATTGATCATTGAATCAGTGGTCAGATCTGGACATTTCTTAAAGTTAACTGCTCGAGTTGCCAGACAGGTAAAAATAATTCCGTGATGTTTCTCAATTTCTAAAGGCCAAAATAATCTACTCCTGTGTTGGTGAATGGGAAATATTATTTTCATCGGGGTATCGTTTTGGTGGTACCGGTGCCAGGATGATCTGGATGCTGCCTCCTTTGTATCGTCGACACAGAAAACAGTGATGAGCGATTGAACGAAGAGCTTGTCGTATCCCAATGATGTGGTAGCGCAGATGCACAAATGATTTGACATATTCGAGTCCTCGATGCAAGCAAACCTGGTGCGGGTGCTGTAGATAAAATGAATGATGAGCTGTTGGATGAGCTGCTGTAAGAATTAGCCGGTGACGTGATTCACCGTCCCTGGTTGGAGAAAACTCATGCCTACTGCGAGAACGAAGCACTTTTTTCTGGTCTAGGTATGGGTTGAGTTGAATCAGTTTGTTCTTTACCTTGAGGCGTCGCTTCTGTTGCAGATTTTTGATCATTCCACTGAAAGATTCTCGCTGTGTTGATACGATGATGAAATTCCGCGCATGTTCTATTTGTTTGCTAGTTGAATGTTATTGTTCAAGTCGATGTTTGTCGTTGTAGTCTAAGTCGTTCTCCGACGATGATTTAAATTTTGTGAAAGAACTGAAAATTGGGGCAATGGTAAAGAATACCTTGTTCAACGATGAAAAACGAATGATTTCAAAGACTGAGGCGATCAAAGTAATTATGTTGGTATCTGTTACGGACGGACGGGAGACTTCACTGGCATTGAGTTGATTACAACTTCAAAAACGATAGGGCTGCTAACCATTTTGATTCCACGTCTTTTAGTTATAGTCCCCGAGTGCCATGATAAAAAGGTTTCAAATCAAACAATACATGGTGCCAAGTACTGTTTTTCCGTAGCGTTTACCTCGGCTAGACCATTTGCAACAAAATTATTCGGTTAATAAACTCAATTACTACTTGAACGTCTGTCCACATGTGTACGTCAGGATCAACGTTACGCTGAAGGTGTAATTTAGCATATGCGACTATTCGAAGTCCAATAGTTTTTCATTAAGCTCTAAATTAGAAACAACTCTTATGTATACGAGCGTTGACATTCCTATCAAGGAAGCATCTGTAAACGTATGCAGTTGAACACTACCTCGTGTTGGTAATTCCCGGTTTAAAGGTTTTCGAGGGAGAGAGAGAGTGATAGTCTTCATAGTCAAAAACAGGTTTTGTAGCTCTTGTAGTTTTTTGTGACTGTTAGCGGGTAGTCATGAGTCCCAAGAATTGTCTAACGTCCAAGTTGCTTGCAAAGTTGCGTCGAACAGTACGGTCACTGGTGCTAGTAAATTGAGAACAACAGGCAAGCTGTTCATTGTATGTATTCCTGGGCATCCCAACTAATTGCGTTTGGAAGCTCTATGTAGAGGTTGTCATATTCCATTTTTGTCCTAGAACTCTAGTTGCTTGCTTGGGTATCTCCCTTTCCGAGTCTAGTATACCGTGAAATACCTTAGTGTAGTTCGATAGTCTGAATCCGCCTTGTTCAAGTAGTTCTAGTAGTTCTAGGGCTGCTTTAGTTAAGAAAGCAGATTCCAGCGCGTCGTTGGGTTAGGATGTTGAGTGAATGTAGTCGTCTATGCATAAGTTTGTCTTGAAAGATTCCATGCCAGCGGAAACTTGGCAACGTTGTCTTTAACATATTTTTGTATAATGTAGATAGCACAAAAAGAAGAGCAAGATGCTCCAAAGATCAGTCTTGAAAACTGGTAGTGTCGTATAATGGCAATACGCCCTACCCTTCTTGGCTTGTTAGGATTTGCAACCTCGTGGTGAGAGAGGTACTACAACCTAGAAGGTACTTGCTGGGTATAAAAATGCAGCTGCACGTAAGATTTTTCCAGGTCCGTAATAAATGTCTTTTCGTATGATTTCTGTAGATCGGGGTCATTTGCGAGTCTTTTCTGCTGGGATTGCATTTGTTTCAGAGCTACATAGTAGTTATTGCTGAGAGTTGAGCTTGGTTTCCAGGGATGAACTATTTCGTATCGTTTACACGTCTTGCTTGCTGTTTTATCCAAGATTTGGAGAGCAAGATTGTTGTCGTTTCTGTAGTTTTTGTTGCGTGCAGTGATTCCATTTTCTTCAGTTTTCTTAAATTGCTGTACAAGATAGTCTAGAGGTTCCTCGGTTGTGTTTTTGCCATTAAGGTGGAAAAAAAATCGATGAATTATTTTGGGTGAATGTCGCAGGTGCCTGTTTTTGTAAAGTTGGTATTCACCGGCTAACGTCAGTCAAAGTTTGTCTTTAGAGCTGAAGTTATAAAGTTGTTTCATTCAATAACCTGAAGAGGATAGGTAGCCAAGCTCTCTTAAAACAATAAGACCCTTTTTGTCAAAACTTTCGTGCATTTTTTGTCCACCTCAAATAGTACACAAAAATTTTGAACCAGGTGATGAGGGCCGCGATTTCTCGGCGCTGAAGCACCATAAGGTTGCTTGTGTGAGGTCAAGGACTCTTCCTTTAAACTTTTACGGGTAAATTACACATAGCAAAAAGCAGTCCAAGATCCTCAATCGCTGACAAAAGAAGCTTTCCAGCGAGCTACGAAATTTTTTTATCAGTGATTTTGATTGAATAATACCGTATAATATTTTACAAGATAGCGTTTACGGCAAACCTCTGAACGCATTAACCTCGATTAACCTATGGATTTGGGTTAATTTCAAATCATGAAACAAAATTATGAAACTAAAGACAAAAACGGAGGCCAACTTTTTATCTTTGTCACGAGGAAAAAAAGCAAACCATCATCCTCGCTAAATAAACACCATCATCAAGTATTCGACGGTGGGAAATTTCCAGTTCATAGATCTCAATCATTCTACTGGGAAGCCTAATGCGGCCAACTTACAGATTTCCGTAAAAAAAATTGTGTTCGTTATTCAAGATAATTCGCCACAGATTCGGTTTTTATGCGATTATTTTCTGAGGTTCTATACCAAAAAATGCTTAATTGGCGCGTGATTCTCACTCGTAATCAGTATCTACACGTGATTCATCGGTCAGATACGGACGTCGTTAAACAGACTCAAGGTTAACATTAGAGCGGTGTGAGTACCATTTTTTTTTTATAGTTGAAGACGTCCTTTTCAATTCAATATACTTCTATGTATGTGCATATGTTTTTGTACCAGCAGTGAAGAGAAAGATATGATGATCGCGTATATTGACGTTCTTCTCTGTCTCAATACGTTCACCACACGAAGCTGCCACCTACAACATAACACGAAAAAATTGAACGTCTACTTCACCGAATAAGAAAATCAAAACCAGACAATAAGTGTCGTATGGAGTAAAGTTTGATAATATTTATGTAGAACCCAGCAACAAGGTAAGTTTATACAAACGTGTCAGCAGCATTTTTCAATTTAAAAAAGCATTTTCAGTACTACACAAAATTTAGAGACCCAGAACTCAAATTCGTCTTTTGCGGGCCCGAGCCCCTACATCATTCAGCCATCCAACGAGATGATTTTTCGATAGTGACGATAACGAAACATAGCCAACAGACACTTTGAAAAAAGTCAATGAACGCAAGTACACAAAAAAAATACTTGAGATTTTTTCAAAGACTTACTTTTTGAAAAAATCTTGTCTTTTGAAAAAACTTTGAATTTTAAAGAAAAGGGGCGGATCTAGGATTTTCTCGAGGGGGGCGGATTTTCAAAAAACATTCGAAAATCTTGTCGACCTTTTTTTAGGTAGTTTAAATTGATTTTCCGAGCTCAGTCAAAGCACAAAAAGACCCTGTTATGGCCAAATTTTCTGCTCCGCAAAGTTTTGAGGCACTTTATGGAAAAGTTTAACAAAAAAATTGCGTTTTTTCGGCGCGCGCTCCCCGTCAAAATTAGTATATTTTGGCACCGAAGGCGCCTTTGGAAAAAGTTTAGGGTCAGTCAGCCAAAAATGGATATCTCAAAATAGTACAAAGGGGGACCCTTTGGGTGGGCAGTGGGGTCGAATCCCTGAGGGAGGCGTCCCCCCCCCCCTAAATCCGCCCCTGTAATCAAGGATAATGGACCGGTGGAGGCTGGTTCCTTGGTGGAGGCAGGGACAACTTTTACCTTAATGTAGTGAGATTTCTGGGCTTTGAATTGGTCTCGAATGTACTGCATCTGCTGTAAAGTGAGCAGAACTTTGTCGGTTACGAAGAACACTTTGCCTCTTTGACCCCAATTCAACTCCAGCATCTCTCGCATGATCAGACAGGCCACCAACGTCTTCCCCAGACCTATCACATTCAAAAATAGTCATCATAACTGTGCAAGTTAACTCTGCTCCGCCTATGAAGTTCTCTACTCGCAAACTCTAAGACAGATAAAACTCTCGGAAAAATAGAAAACCACCTATGAAGAGGTTTTTTATTCGGTTTCAAAAAGATATTGCCCGCTGATGAAATTCACTACCCACAACCTTTTTGAATAGCTGGCTCTGAAATTGCTTTAAAGGCAGATTCCGCGCCGACTCTTAATAATTTTGAGGTGTGAGCTATTTTTTAGTGAATCAAAACACCATATTTCCCAGTTAAGAAGCAGTGTCTTTTGACAATGAAGAAGAGCTTGGATAATCAAATTTGTAGACCTTGAGAATTGGCTGACAAAATTTTGGAATCATTTTTCTTGTAGACGTAGTTTTTTAGAGAATAAAAGGTAGAATTGAATTAGGATAGCCGGTTACTGAGCAAGTAGCACAGAATGTTCCGACCATAGTCTTAACAAATACAATTTGTTTTTAAAATTAGTGTCATTTTTTCTGTGTGGTATAATAAATCTGAACAAAAAAAAATAGGCAAATGCAACAGTCATAGTAAAAAAAATACCAATTGGAAAAACAGTTTTTGTAAGGAAGTGGTTAAAAAACCGAAAAAAAAACGTATAAACATTAAAAAAAAACAGATTTTTTTTTCATTTTTTGAAGTTGTTAACTCCTCAAAAGACGCTAAAAAACTCCAAAAACAAATATTACTTGAGTGAAACTTAACTTTCACTTCTTAATTTAAGCTTAAATAAGCCTGCACACTCACCTTATTAGCTCGAAATTAGACCAAAAATAAAAAATTTTATACAGGTTTTTCTCGACACTGAAAAAGATTTTTCTAAAATTTTACTGTCGTTCGAATCAGGACTGAATGTGCTTTGATATGATATATCACTCGACCCATTTTAATGATTATTTGTGGTTCCTGATTTTGCGTGAAAAAAAAGAAAAAAATTAGAACACACCCATATACAAAGTTCCTCCACATTTTTAAAATTATCGGCACAAATAGGCCTGATCACATTAAACGAACAAAAGACGCACAAAACAATTGAATAAATTATATGTATTCAAAACTACTGCCAGCTTTTTAATTAAGTTACAGCTAAAAAAAATTATTCGTTAGGGTTGAGAAGTGCCGCCTTCAAGTGGTGGACCCCACGCGCTGTCTAAACAGCCTCAAATGGCACTACCTAACACTCCCCATACAAGGGTGCGCGGAAAAAGCATTCGTTACGACTAAACAGAATAAAAAACACTGGCTTGAAAAAAATCGCAATAAAATTCAAAGAAAATAGATGGCCTTAAAGCTCAATGAATTTCTTTAACAATTCATGATTAACACTTTGTTTATTTAAAAAAGAATATAAAATGAACAAACTGGATCGATAAGAAAATTTTTTATTTAGCTGCAAAAAATTTACAAAATTACATTCCACTTTCATAACTAGAAGTCTTACACGTTTTTGGAGACCTTAGCATTTTTGCAGTTCGATAGTGAAGTGCGCTTTCCTTTTAACAAAAAATGAAATGAACTTAAGAGGAAATCAAAAGTCAAATAGCAAAAATATCAAATCTGAGCATGATCAATTTTGAATATTTGACCTAAAAAATCATCACAACCTATATGAGAGTCGGCTTTACGTTCATTGACTCTTAATATCATCATAACTGATCTAGCTACTTTCTCACAAAAAACAATCATCTCAGATAAAGTAGATCCAGCTGCGTGTAGTCAAACTAAAATAACGTACTACAGAATGTTTACAACTTTGCTACGGTATTACTTGAACGTTTGTTACCAAGGTTTCATTGCACAAAATCAGTATCAAAATTGAACGGAAATTTTGAGTCAGGTTTGGTTGTTGTGAACTTAAAATTAGATACAGCGGTGAAGCTGAGCTTCGCACCATTGTGAATACTAAAATGAATTACTCTAATTAAAAGCGAAGGAAAAGAAATATCGGCAATTAATAAAAATTGCTACAAAAACATGGAGCAAAATGACCTTCACAATTAGGAATTTTAAATGGAGCTTCCGACATGCCAGAAAACAGCTGAAACTTCACACAAGTCATTTATGCGCGAACCAATCCGAAAAAGATAAGCAGGCCACCGACGGTCTAAAATGGTGTGAAATTTTTCAGTTTGCAAGAAACAGGCACCGACTGGAAACGAACTCCTGGTCTTTGCGCGTTAATTGCGCAGAACGCTCCTTGAATTTATCATGAAGCAACTGGAACACTTATTACAGTAACCTTGTTTATCGCAAGGGTAACCAAATGTAAGATTCGAATCAGCTTCAAATTCATTGAGTCTATAACTTATTAATCATTTGATTTGTTACTAATTGGGCAACATCAATTAGGCAACCTATCAACGATAGGTTTGCATCATCTGCAAATAACAAAACTTCCACAAACTTGCATGCTTTGGGCAGGTTATTTAGTATATTATAAATATCAAAGGACCTAAAATCAAGCCCTGTTGCACTGAACCCACAATCTATTCTAATCCAACTAGATCCTATTCGAACAAACCTAAAAACGACTTAGAAATTTCAAATGACAAATCAAATTTTTCAAGCGCTTCAGGAAAAATTAGCGTTTACCGCACCTCCGGTGCTTCGAATTTTTTCGACAACTAATGAAAAACCGCATATATTGGAAACAAGATCAGCAAACTTTTAGTGTATTCTGACTGCACCCAATTACAGTGTTGGTAATTTCAAACTTTTTAATTTTTTTAATTCCCATTTTAAAAAAACCATAAAAGTGTCATCTCGGAAACTTAATGGGCCTCTGGAGAAATTTGGAGACCAGATTTTCAACCACTGAAAGCCCCTGAGAGCACCCTACTATACGGTTGGGAATTTGAAATTTCGTTTAAGCTTAAGATTCCCGACAAAAAATGAAAAAATCATAACAAAACGTCTTATCTCGGAAACTAAAAAGATTTGAGCATTCAAATTTAGAGACAAGATTTGAGACGCCTGGGTATACGCTGACAGTAAGGTTGTGTTTTCATCAAGTTAGTAGTTTCAAATTTTGTGAATTTCTTTGTAGATAATTTCTTGGAGAAAGTTTGAAAAAATTAAAAAAACGTCACGTCTCGAAAGCTAAAGGCATTTGAGCAGTCGCATATGGCAAGATTAGTAACTCCTGAGAGTGCCCTGACAGCAGTCAACTACAAAGTTACTAATTTCAAATTATGAAAAAAAAAATAATTAAATTTTCTGAAATTTTTAAAAGAAAAATCACAAAAAACGACATATCTCTAAACTACAAGGATCTGAAGAGTCCAATTCGGAAGCAACAATTGCAACACCTTAGAGTACCCTGACAGTACCCAACTACAGGGTTGGGAATTTCAAATTTTGAAATAAAATTAAATTTAGGTTTTCTGAAAATTTAGAAAAATCACAAAAAACATTACATCTCAAAAACACCAAGGATTTGAGCAAACATAATTGGAGGCAAGATTCGCGATCCTTGTGAGTACTCTGACAGGACCCAACTACAGTGTTGGGAATTTCAGATTTTGAAAATTAAATTATAATTTTAAGTTTTCTATAAAAAATTTTGAAAAAATCACATAAAACGTCATATTTCGAAAATTACAAAAAATTGAGCAGTCATATTTGGAGGCAAGAATTGCAACACCTTAGAGTACTCAAAGAGAACCCAACTACAGGGTTGGAAATTTAAGATTTTGCAAAAAAAATTAATATGTTTTCTGAAAATTTTTTGAAAAATCACAAAAAACGTCATATCTTGAAAACTACAAGGATTTGAACAGTCACATTTGGAGGCAAGATTTGCAATTTCTTGGAGTACCCTGAAATCACCCAACTACAGGGTTGGGAATTTCGAATTTTGAAAAATAATTAACTCAAATTTTCTGGAAATTTTTCAAAAAATCACAAAAAAAACGTCATATCTCGAAAACTACAAAGATTTCAGCAGTCATAAATGGAGGCAAGATTCGCAATCCTAAATAAAACCCTGACAGTATTCAATTACAGAGTTGGGAACTTCAAGTTTTTTAAATTATTTTGTAATTTGAGTTTTCTGAAATTTTTTGAAAGAATCACCAAAATCGTCTTATCTCGTTAATGGGCTGCTTATTTTAAACTCGGTGAAATAACCACTAAAATCAAATTGGAAAATCGAAAAAAAATTCTTAAGCATTGCAATATACGATATAGCTTGAACGTGCAAAAATTCTTTCGTTAAACATGCAAAAATAATACGTTGAAAAAGCTTAAACATGGCGAGATGGTGAAGCACGCATTTAAATGTATAATAGATAATAGATTTGGCCAAGGGATATTTTTGATATGGTAGGTGAACTTAGAAAATCAAAGATACCAATTTTCACAATCAAAATCCATAAAAATTCCTTACTTGATTAATGAACAATAACCAAGGATAAATCAGAGATTTTCGCGAGTGGGGTTGCGGACTTCAAAAAAACAATTTTCGAAAATTTTGTCGACCCATCTGCCCTTCCGAGATCTCCGAAAGAAAAGTAGGGAGGGACAACACAATTTTGTCAAGTTGTTTTTTTTTTCAAAGATTTTGACTAAAATATCGCATCTTTTAAGCTTCGTTTAGATACTGTGAAGATCAAAATCTGAGTCGGATCTTGATCAGGGTACTAGAGATTGCGCAAAAACAGACAAACTAAGATGTCATACCAGTTGGTAGGAAGCAGTAGTAAGAGTAGTCGTCCAGCATCACTCGGCGGAACAGATCGTGCTGGTAGTGTCTCGGAGTAGTCGCCACTACTCCCCTCTCCTTGTAGTACTTCTCCAACTCAACAGTTCTCGCTGTCTCGTCGTAACTGAATCAAGCAAAACTCATCAAATTTAGATATCGGTATCAGTGAAAAAAAAACATGAAACCAAGTTGCAAAAGAATGTTCCGCCCCGAGAGTCATTGCAAAAAAAATAAAATTACCAATAAAAAAGTCAATGAACTCAAGCCAATGATAAAGTGACTTTCAAATTTCGAAGGCAAATATATCGTTAAAGTTCTTATATTCTTTGATTAGTACTTTTGTCATAAAAATAACCGAATTTTAGGAAATTGAATCCATCGACAATTTTTTTTATTCCGCTGAAAAATCTTCAATTTATTATCCACATTCGAAACTTAAGTTAAAGACGTTTTTTTGCGCTATTTCCAATTATGTAATTGAAGAGCGTTATTTGTCCTTCTTTGAGCAAAAAAAAAGAACAAACGCCAAATCACGAATCAAATTTGAGCGTGAACATCTTTTAAAACTTTTTCCTAGACTGAGCACATGAAGAAAAAACTACCGCCAATTATTTTGGAACCAAAAAAAACTAAACCGACAAAAAACTCAAAAAATATCTATAGGAAGTATCAGAGAAGGTCCGACGGCAACTCGAGCAAACTGCCTACGTCGGAAATTTTTTTTCAAAAAAAAAAAGCAAAAAATCCACTTTCGAAACGAGAATCTGTTCAATTTTTTTGATACATTTACAATTTTGCTGATAAAAAAATGAGTCTGGCTTCGTTAAACAAATGAAATGAACTGAAATTTAAAAAAATAAACCGCGAAAAATCGATATTTAGGAATTTTTAGAAGAGCAAATTTCCTGCAAAATATTCCTCGAAAAACTCATCACGACCTACATAAATGTCTTCACTACGTTCATTGACACTTGAAACGGCATGTTGGGAGGAGAATGGTAGAATTGCCGACACTTTCTTAATAAAACTTACTCTCCTGGAGTTCAAAACTGGGTTCCTGAGGTATCTACCAATAAATTATAAACAAATTTTCGAAACTTGTAGTCATTCACATTTTTTGCGCCAGACTATTGAAAGAACAAATTACCTTTTCGGCCAATGAATTTGTAGTGAGCTTAAGTCAAGCCGCGAAACACCAAACTTTCTCGTACTCAAAAATCTTTTAAATTTGCCATTAATGGCCGCTAGTTTTTTTAAAATTTTTTTAATGAGTCCCTGGTTGTGAGGGGGTTAAATTCCTGACAGACAGCAATAATTGCCCTGATTGCCGATGCCCCCTCCCCCCAAATCCAACCCTGCCCTGATTGCCGATCTACTACTCTGTCTTTACATACTCGTTAAAGTTCTGCACACTGCTGCTCTTAACAATCGCCGTCTCTTCTCCCTGCTCTCCATTGCCTCGGTCTCCCGAACCTCCGGACATTGCGTCCAGAGCAGAGGCATCCACACTTAGCATCTTCTTCTGGTGTTTCTTCCCGTTGTAGTGGTCGTTCGCCTAATAATCAAATTAAAACAATAAATTGTTTCCAAAACATTTATAACATTTCTCACTCTTTATGTATTACTCTTCTAAAAAATGCAGATCATTTGGCTACTTCGCCATTAGAAATAAATTGTCTGTTTTCAGGCGTCTAGCCTAAGCAACAAAGCAGGGAAATGACAACATGATTAATAACATCATTGCACTCAGGGTTGTCTAGAGATGAATAATTTTAAAATTAATTTTCATCTTTAACTTATGGCATCAAAAATCACAAACAGTTCAAGTCACCCAGCCTTTTTCATTAGTTTGAAAATAACATCTAGGAAGCAAGCAATTGCTATTTAATGTTTTTAACCGAGAGTTAATTTTCTTCATTCATTCATTCACTCACTCACTCACTCACCAGGCTGACCACATGGGGAAAGAGTAAAAAGTGACCATCACAATTTTGTAAAAAGTGACCAAAACAACATAAAAAAGTGACCAAAAGTGACCTTCGCTCTCCAACATTCAAAAAAAAACATTCAAGGCGGTCAAAAAATTAATTTAGCTGTAATTAAACTAAAAAAGTTGTTCGATGACAAAGGTAACGAGAAGTTTTCTGGCTGAAAACAACATAGGATACCCAAAATTCATTGCGAATTTTCCCATTATAAGTTGTCTCGTCTAGATGCAGGGCAGAGCGTTTCATAATAAGCTGATTTCTGAGTTGGTTCATGGCCCACGGGGCAATTCCGTAGGTTGACCTCTTAGAAAGGTGACTTTGAGACAAAGAGTGACCAAAATGTAACCATAAGTGACTGGTCACTCATGAGTGACCAAAGTGGTCAGTATGTCACTCACTCACTCACCTACTCTGTGTGACAATTTGAGCACATATGAAACAAGACTGCTCGTATCAGAGCGACGCACTGAAGTTTCAGACTGCACTTTAATGTCTATTGATTAAGGTTCATTTTAAAAGGAAATAACGAAATTTTCACAAAAAAATGAAAAATTTTCATTAATTTTTTGAATGGTCGTAATTTACAAAGTTATGTTTCCCATCAGTCATATATTAAATAGACCAAATAGCATGCCACACTTGTATTTGGAACGATTTTTAAGACGGACTAAATCGCCACGTAAGCGTAATAGCACGAAATATATGCCCTTTTGTCCCAAATTGGCCAGATGGGCAACCTTTAAACCCCAATATCTTTACCGAAAAAGATCAAAGGGGAAATATCTTTTAAAATTCGATCTCAGGATAACAAAACCTTTACAACTTTTGGCTGATAAAAAAAAACATTGTCAATTGCTAGTTCTTAAGTCGAAATTTGTTTGTAAGAAAACCAACCCGAGCACAAATAATCAGTCACTTTCTTCGAAGAAGTCGGAACAAGTAGCTTACCTCAATTCAATTTGGAACAACTTTCAAGTACATTATATTTCGCGCGTAAACAATTCGGGTTACACTTTCAGCACCAAATTTTAAAACGAGCAGTTTGAATCGCCGTGTGAGGTTAATGGTGGTGGGCGCATTCGGCGTGGGTTCCCGTTGAGCCAGGGATTAATCTCACGAAAGAGGTAATGTTAGTTTGGACATTGGTCGGCATAAAGAACTCGAGCCTATATATTCCTCACTTTCTTCGAAAGTCGGAACAACAAGGTTATCCGGTAGTTAAAGAAGGAACAAACTCGAATAAACAGATAAACTTGTCTTTTCCGGGATATTGAAGTGTTTGAATAAATGAGATGTAAAATTAGGAATACTTTCAGATCAAAACCCTGAATGTTCCCTCTTCCCCTTTAATCTATCAGATCAAAACGCTGAATGTTCCCTCTTCCCCTTTAATCGTAAGAAAAACTTATGCTCCAAAATCCATTGAATTAAAAAAAAATTACACAGAGGCGAAGCGAAGCTTCGCACCACTTGTGATTAAACACAAGATAAAAAAATCAAGAAGTCAAAAAATGGAAAAACGTTGAACAAAAAAACTAGTTCTACATAAAACTTGTTGTTCGTACGTCTCGATAGAAGTTATTCTAGGCTAACATGCCAGAAATTTGAAAAAAAAAAATTAGCATCGCAACAAAACTTACGAAGAGAAAATAAAGTGGGCAATCTTTCCACAGGACACAAATTGAGCAGAAAAAAATCTGATTTCAGAAAAAATCTTTACAATTGCAAGTTCCACCTGAGAGTAGATTGATTAACATTTGCACTTTGAATTACAAAATAAGTTGCCTACAGCACAAGAAAAGAGAAATAGTGATGTGGCAACTAAGCCGACAATCTTTGAGCAGACAACTGTTGAGCCGAAAACCAAATAGATTTTTTTAAAAAGTTTCAATTCCACCTCCCTGAACCTACAAAGAACAACACTTGCACTTGCATCGAAAGTTGCTTAAAGGACAAATAAGATTTCTGATTTGGCAAATAAGCCAACAAAAACTTAGCAGAATAACTCCAACATTTCAACTTTTACAGAAAACTATTTTTTCAATTGCTTATATACTGAAAACAAACAAGGTCCGACCGACAGTCGAACTCCAGACCTTATGGTACAAAGGCGATGGTGTTAACTCTAGGCCAAGTGGTAAGGAACCTGAAGATTGTGAAAGTTCAATAAAAATCAAATTGAAGAAAAGTTAAATGAGAAAAGTTGTCTAGTGGAAAAGTCTTGTTTCCGATTTCAAGACACTTGCTCTCGCAAGTGTAATAAGACCTGATTTTGTCAAACGTGTTTAATCGAAAAAACTATATTAAAAAAATTATTTAAAGTCAGAGTTGGTAAAATGACATTTTACAGACTTTCAACAAGAATAAAAGAATTCAAAATCAAAATCCATAAAAAATCAATGCTTAACAAAAAAGCTAAAAAACAGTACCAAGTAAAACAAATTTCTTTTTTTAAAAAGCGGGAAATGAACCGACGGAAACTAGGCCGCAATCTACGAATCTGAACAAAAATAAAATATTTTTTTTTTCACGAAATTTATTTGAAAACAAGCTAACACCGGAAACTTATTACCTAAATGAAGGTAGTTTCATCTGAACTTTCAAGCAATTGAGCATGCCTGAAATTGAGCATATCTGAAATGTTCCATTCCTACACATTTGACCATTCTGTGCCTAAACTTATTTACGGGAACTTAAAAAAAACTCTAGTACCCAATTGCAAAACCCTTGCTTATCGCAAACGTGAAAAAGAAAAACATTTGGCTCCCAACTTTTGACTTTCTTTTATCTCCCACGCGCAATGTGAACTACACAGGGATATATTTACTCTCGTATCGTCTTAAAACAAAATTCACGACCCATCCCTATTGATACACTTAAAAAATTCGCCGTTTAAATAAACTACAGAAATAAGCAGACAAAGCCAATATAACATCAGCCAAATTCGTTTAATAAAAAAAACCAAACACTTTCAATTCAACTTTCAAAAAATTTAAAATATCCAGGCTCTGGAAAGAAACTGCTTGAAAAATAAACCAGATAAAATAACCTGCATTTACGAAAAACAAAACATCAGCCGATACAAATTAGGAAGAAAATCACAAATCCGGAAAAAATCAACATTTTTTTCAATAAAAGTATTTGAAAAAATTTATTACTACCTCAAATGCACCAGCAAGTTTTTTTTGACATTTCACAAAAAAGAGCATGTCAGCTTTAGAGCATGACAGCAGAACTGAGCATGTCAGCAGAAGTTGAGAAATGTTGTATAGGAGAAAAAAGTCTACTTCCGATTACAGCTCACTTGCTCTCACAAGTGAAATGAGTGATTCGCATCATTAGAACGCAACATTTCGCGCGTTAACTATTCCAAATTAGCCACTTTCATATACACATTTTCACTATAAAATCTTTCAGATGATATTTTAAAAAGTGCGTCTAAAACGTTCGGCTAAAAAGTCGAAGATTGACTGAATAAAAACAACCACCCCATGCATCTACTCCGTAACTTTCCTCGTAATTTGGATCAATTATGCTTCTACCATACTAAAATACACGTAGACGAACCATACACAAACAAAACAAACAACAACAATGAGATTAAGCCATAGATAGTGCATCTGTTTAAATGGGGTTGAATTGAAGCTCAATTAAAAATATCCATCATTTCGTATTTAAATTTTGGTATCGCCATTAATTGACTTAAAGTCTTTTTATATTTAAAAACCCGTATTAATTGAGCTGCAACCATCTTCATTACTTTATTTGTAGTATTGTGGTTAATCTATCCTTATTATTTCAGTTTTCAAGCTTTTTGAGCTCTGCATCGACAACCTGTAGATTTAGAGTCAGCTGCATTAACAAGTTGCGCTATGTACATTTGCTTTCCGCCAAATACCAGCCACTAATGTAGAGAATGGTATTTACTGAAGCCCAGCTTCTCAGAAACTGCAATTTGTCAATTATGTGAAAGTGGCACTAATTTACGCGATTTAGTTCGGGAGAACGTGGATTCGTATAAAACAAGCATTTGCTTGCATAAAGAATTTGTTCAATAAAGCAAGACCTTTGAGTTTTGAAAAACTAGTGAAAAATAATTTCCTTAAAATTATTACCATTAACACTTATTGCGAATAATTTACACCACTTGCGATACAAAAGAAAGTTTAAAAAATGGTCGAAAAAATAGAAATAATCGAAAAACTGAAAGTAGAAAAAAACTAGATCTACTCTAGCAACAAAAAAAAACCAATGCAAAAGCGATAAACAAAAATTACAATGAAAATTAGCATTGAAAACAAGCGGTAACAAAACCAAAAATATCAGAGCAGAAACCCTTTAAACCGAGAAAAATTAATAAACCCATAGCTAATAAAACCCGCCCCCTCCCCCCCAAAATGCATACACACACACAAAGATTTTTTCAATCATCAAACGACGCAATATAGAGACACTAAACCGATATAAAGGAGGCAAAAACCTATTAAATCAAGAAAAAAAGAAAAGAAACAAAACAATGAAACTTTTTGACAAACCCAGTTAGCACAGACCGAGTTATTACAGCAAGCATAAACAACAGATTTCGAAAAGACCGTATATTTAAAATGCTAACAAGCTCAAAATATCTCTGTTGCATTACAAGGCCTAGTGGATGGATGAGTTCAGGATGCAGGAGATGAGTCCAGTGAACAATGAACGGGAAAAAAGAGTCGAATACCCGATTGCAATACCCTTGCTTATCGCAAGGGTAAAAAAAAGTTCATAAATAGTCTCAAACTTCCTTTCGAAAAAAAAATATCTCGTTTTCATTAATCAAAAAAAGTCAAATTTTTAGTAATAGTTATAATTATACGAACATGTTTGATATCTGTGAAATCCACTCCACACAAATCACATCGCTTGTAGTTCCTGTGGACACTGCTAGTCACACTTGAGGGAACTGCCGAAGAGGAAACCGCTGAGGAGCTACGGCCTGTGCTTACACCACTAGAGAGCCCCCCACCAACTGCCCCGCCCCCACCCCCTCCAGCACTCGCTCTTTGACCTCCAGATGACCTCGCGTTTCCTGAAATCAAAAGCAAAAGGAATGAACAAAAGAAAATAGTTCAACACATTTACACTAAGAGGCGAATATAATCTTCGCAAACAAGCAAAAAACGACAAACAGTAGCTCTAAAAACCAGCAAAAAGGGAAAATACAAAAACATGCGAAAAGCATAAATATGCCGAGATCAAAAATACTTTTGAAAAGATAGTACGGGATTCCCACTCGGAGCTCCAGGTCAAGATAATACTTGTGCCGTAGACCATCAAACACCCGAAACTACACAAATACCCATTAAATTCCGTTAGAAATTTCTCCACAACGGTAGAGATCAACATTAGAGCTTTGCAGCTCTTTACGAAGAGTCTCTATCTTTCACGTAGTTAAAATTTACAATTATTTCTGATTCATTTTTGATCTGGGAACGAGCACAATTGAGCCTCGAACCACTGAGCTTTAGACAGAGAGGTGTAAACCATAGCCACTTCCCAAAATTTTAAGCGCAAAAACTACATTTACAACTTGCCCGCATTTATCTGTTGTGGTGTTCTCACAGGTGCCGTTTGAAGTTCCGAGTATGTTGTTCCAGGATGATTTTTTCCAACTTCAGCTATCGTGGGATGATTATTCTGGGAATCAGAGTACAAAGGCTGCTGATATGGCTCTCTATTTGGATATGTCTGTCCTGCACAACCGACACACTTCACTCCGCCGACAGAACCAGTTCCCACACCTCGCTCCGAGGCCAAAGGAGCATTTAGAGATTGGGGCTGCAAGATGTCGAATTCAGAAATGTTTTCGGTTCCACAATGCACACACTTCGCAGATTTCACCCCAGTTGACTCACGCCGCACGGGAAAAACCCTTTGTTGTCCCATCCTATTTTGCTGCGGGTGAGTTGATACAGATGAGATTACACTTTCAGGATTTGATCGGGAGGATATCCTGGAAAACTCCGACAAGCAATAACCGGAATCTGCAGCAACCGAAGCTGGTCCCTTAGGAAACAGCATTTGTTCATGCTGTACTTGAGACAAGGCTGGCGCTGAATGAACCGATCCAGGGTGATAAGACGGAGATGCCAATCCAGAGAAGTTGGCAGCGTTGCTTCTTCTAGCTGTCGTATACCTTCTTCTATGTTGCATACTAGCCATGTGTTGCTTTACTGGCTCGATTCCATTCAACTTCGATTTGCATATATTGCAGATGTACTGCTCGCTCTGAGCAGGTCCTGTAATAGGTACTGTCTCCAGGCACTCTTCCGTCATTTTTCTCAAGTTAGGATCCGAGATCTGATACACGAACGAGGGTGGTTTTTGGCGATGGTCTGACACATAACCACTTGAAGTTCGCAAAGAAGGTGCCGAGTTCATTGGTCTAGTTCCACTTCTAGGGCTGTCAAATTCAGTATTTGCTGAGCATGACTTACTTGCGTTAGTCTCCGATCTTAATTCAGTATATGCTGAGCAGGACTGACTCGCTGTTTCGGTCACAGTATCAGAATTCTCCGATTGGCCATCGTCAGTCGGAACCTGAAGCCTGTCTTCTGGATCATCATTTTCTCCAATAAGGACTGGTTCGCCTCTCTCATCTATTTCACTCAGAAGGGACTTGCCAACGTTGCTTTGGGAAACGTCAACGATTCTATCCACAAAACGACTGCAGTTTAAATCCTCTATAATGTGTGCCTGGCTCGTCACGTGATCTATTAAACTAACCTCGTCAAACTTTTCCTGACAAACTGGGCAATCAATGTCTTTCCTGGCATTATCACTAGGTAATTGCCTCCTGTACAGCGAATCCAACCTGTGTCGAAGGTTCAGAAGATGATCCTTTAAGCGAACGTGTTTGGAGTAATTGGACATTGGCATCCATTTTGTATTTTCACAAACTATACATTTCATGTGCTCACGTTTTTCATCCCATAGGAAAAAATGTTCATTCAGAATTAACATCTGAAGGGCGTCCATGTGTAAGGAATCCAAGGGGTTGCTTTGAAGATGTGTCACAAACTCTTTCAGCACATGAATATGGGAGTAGAAATGCTTGGCCAGCTCACAAGAGAACTTAAACTCCAACTTGCACACAACACACTCAAAAAACTTTTTCCGTTCCATTCGCACTTAAAGCAAAACAAAACCTGCATACACTTCAGAAAAACTTTTAAAAGAACAAATAAAGACTTCTGCTCATTAAAAGCGCTAACTTGATGAAAACTGTAAACAAGACTGCTCGAATCAGAGCAAAGCTATGAGTTTTCTGACTGCGCTTTAATCTGACTGAAAAGATTTTGGGTCGTGAAAAAAGTCAGTTTTTTTTCCATTTTTGTGCAATTTTTCAAACCACGTGCAATGCCAAGTACAAAGTGAAATATTTCGCGTCAGCTAGCGCAATAATTGTACCAATTTAATAAAAAACGATTTCTGAGCAGGAATAGTTCGCGGCACCGCATAACATGAACTATAGCGCTCATTGCTTATCTCAAATTTCCAGTTTCCCAACCCAAAATCTTTTAAAAAACGCCAAAAAATGTCATACCGAAGTACATTCGTGGACACAATTAAAGCAAAATCAAGGTTTTCAAGCTAATTCTTGCCTAAAATTCCTGTTTTCAAGGATGAATAATTTGACATTTACTTCGAATTTAAACGAAACTGTTACATAGACCACACTAGAATGACCAAAACAACCCTGTATAAAATGGTCAAAATTAGGCGTCAAAATCGTACCAGTTTTTTTCTAGGTCTGAAAATGCCAGGATGCCAGTTTTTACGATCAGCAATAAGTGTGTAACTAGCGTGTAACGCACCTTCGGTGCTTCGAATTTATGACAACTCACAAAACCGCAGATATTAGAAAAAATATTTGCATTCTTTGAATGTACCCTGACAGCACCCAAGTACAGGGCTGAATTCAAATTTTGTTAAGTTATTCAAGTTTTTTTAATTCAAATTTTGAAAAACCATACAATTTTGTGAATTTGTTTTTTTTATATCTAAGTTCGTAGAAAATTTCTAAAATGACAAAAAAACGCCATTTCTCGGAAACTAAAAGCAATGGAGCAGTCGCATTTGGACCCAAGATTTGCAGCTTCTGAGAGTACTGACAGCACCCAACTACAGGGTTGGGAACTTCATATTTTGAAGAACTTCAAATTGAAATTCTCTTTTTTTTTAAAGTGAAATATCTCCAGAATTAAAAACTTGAGCACTCATATTTGGAGGCAAAAATTGCCACCAATGAGAGTACTCTGACAGCCCCTAACATCAGATTAGGAATTCCAAACTTTGAAGAAAAAAAACTAAATTTGAGCTTTCTGAAAACTTTTTTGAAACACAAAAAACGTCATATCTCAAAAACTAACAAGATTCAAGCACTCATAGTTGCAGGACAAATTCGAAAGGAGTGCCCTGACAAAGCCTCAATATAGAGATAGGAACTTAAAATTTTTATATCTAAGTTCTTTGAACATTAAAAAAAAGACATTACAAACGTCACATCTCGGAAACTAAAAGCATTTCAGCAGTCGCAATCGGATACTAAACTTGCAACATGAAGCTCCTGAGAATACCCTAACAGTACCCAACTACAAGGTTGAGAACTTCAATACTTTTCAAAAATTATTTATATTTATATTAAATTTTTAAAGTTTTTAAAATCTAAGTTTTCTGAAAAAATAAAACACGTCAACTCGAAAACTAGGATTTGAGCAGTCATATTAGGAGGCAAGATTCTCAATATATGAGAATACTCTCAGAGAGTACTCTAACAGCCCCCACTACAAAGATGAGAATTTCAAATTTAGTTAAAAAATTATATTTAATTTTTGTGGAAGTTTTTTTGAAAAAGTCACAAAAAACGTCATATCTCGAAAACTACATAAACTTGAGCAGTCATATTTGGAGGCAATTTTCGCAATCCCTCAGGGTGCCCTCACAGTTTCACACTATAGGATTGAGATCTTCAAACTTTTTTAGTTTTCTAAACCTAAGTTTTTGGAAAATTTTGAAAAAATTCTAAAAAACGTCATATCTCGATAACTACAAGGATGTGAGTAGTCATATTCAGAGGCAAAATTAGCAACCGATGTGATTACCCTCAACTACAAGATCGAGATTTTCAAAAAATTGTTGAACTTTTTTAAATCTAAGTTTTTCGAAACTTTTTTTAAAAAATCATTAAAAACGTCATATCTCGAAAACTACAGAGATTTGAGAACAGAGATTTGGAGGCAAGATTCGCAGAGTACCCTGACAACACCCAATTACAGTGATGAGAATTTTAAATTTTGTAAAATTTTCAAAACTGAAGGTTTCTAGAGATTTTTAAAAAATCTCGAAAATTGCCGTATCTCGTACTAAAAGGATTTGGTTATTCATATATGGAGGCCAACATCGCAACACCTGGGAAAGCCCTGACAGCATCCCAATATTGGGTTGCTAATTTCAAACTTGTTGAAATAAACACTGAATTCAAACTGGAAAAAAAAATCTTACCATTGCCATATACGATATATTTTAAACGTGAAAAAATTCTTTTCTTAAACATGCAAAAATAATACGTTGAACAAGCTTAAACATGGCGACATATTGAAGCCCGCATTTAAAATTATAATAGATTAATGCGATGCAAAAATATGTTGTTCAATGTGAAAAAAATAACTATATTCAGCTGTTTTTTACGATTTCATTCGGCTTGCAAACCTTTGTTCAGGTGGTAAAAACTGGCATTTTCACACGGAAAAAACTGGTACGAAATTGAAACCACCTTTTTCCAATTTTGTTGAGGGTAGCTCTGGTAACTCTCTTTTTGTATGAAAAAATTTAGTTTAAATTCGGAGTAAGTTTTGACCTGTCCTTGAAAACAGAATTTTAGGTAGTTTATTGCGTTTTATTTTGTACACTTGTAAATATTAACTTTTCAATATTCCTTTCATTTTTACAACAGAAGTTGAGTCAAGATATAAGTCTACAACAGACACAGAGACGAAGCTGCGCTTCGCACCACTTGCGATACACAAAGTATATGATTAAAGCAGCAAAACATTTAAGAACTATTAAAGAAGACTTCGAACATTGCTATCATTGAAGAAACAACTAGAAAAAAAAATGAACATCAAATTTTCTGAAGTTTAAATGCATTAAAAACTTTTTAAAGAGTTCAAATGGCATTGAAGTTGAGCATTCAAAAATTTAATTTTGGGGCAAAAACTTTGAAGTTTTATGGACAATATCGGAAACCTGTAGGAAACAAAATATTAGGTAATTGAGCCGACAGAACTAAAGCCGACAGCCAATTAACTGAAAATCAACAAATTGTTCGGCAAAATCTTATTGGAAAAAATACATGTAGTTAGTGCCTAAATAGTATCCATGAAAGCCATATATGTAATGAAATCAAAGTTTTATACACAATTAACAAACTAAAATGAGAGATTAGTCGAAAGCCGAAAAATCCTTCGTTTTTTCAGACTCTCACAAGCTTTATACAAAGTACGCATTAGAGCGACACATATCGAAAGTAAATTATCTCTAATAGGCCAAAAAGGCTATTTCCGAAGAGCTATTAGCTTTTTCAAACGATCTCATTCAAAATGTTTATCAAAGTTTCAGCTCAAAGCATTAGTATCTTTCAAGGGGCAGAAAAAATCTAAAGCGACGTCACGTTAAATAGCCCAGTAGACAATCAGTCAGCCCCAGCACAAATAATTCGTAACGTTCTTCAAAACCGGAAAATTACCACAACGTGTTTTTACTTCCTCCTCAGCATTAAATTCGATTAAGGGCTCATTCATGGATAGACAGCAATTAAAAAAGACTAAAATTGAACGCAAAAATGTGTGACTTAGGTTGAAAAAAAGGAACTCGTAGCATACTACAAATTTAACAGTACAAGAGATTTCTAGCAGATGCGAAGCGAAGGTTGGCGCTACTTCTGATACAATACAAACATAGCATAGCAAGCTAGCTGACAAAAAATGAGCTGGAAGGTACAAAAAATTTACACAGAGGCGAAGTTGCACTTCGCATACACAAACAAAAATATTACAGATAACGCTACTGGGAAAAACCGGATGAGTAAAACTTTGAGTCTACAAAGTTTTTTAAGTGACGCATGCCAATTACTATTATGCCAAACTCATTAACTAAGAAAGCGATAATTAAACCAAAAACACTTGTGTAGGCAACCTTTGCGACGAAAAACTAAGTGAAAATTTGAAAATCTAACTTGAAATCACCCGCAGCGTACAACTTTTTGCCAAAAAATATACGCATAACATATTAGACGCCCAATTATTTATACATGAGGTTATCAGGTTATCAACTCGATATAACATTCACCGAAAACCTTTAGGTCGAATTAACTTTTTAAATAAAAGAGATAATTTTTAATTGGCACACGGATGACGATTACTGAGCAAGTAGCAAAGTATTTTCCGACCATACTCTTTAAAAGTACAAAAGTGCTTTCAAATTTGTGTCGTTTTTATTTGAGGTGTAATAAAAGGATTTCAACAAAAAACTCGATTTCAGGCATATTCTTCAGTCTGGTAAAATAGGCAAAATGGACATCAGTTTTTACAGAAAATGACTATAAAACAAAACATTGTGCAGAATTTTTTGAACTTCTGAAATTTTTGATTCCCAAAATGGCCCTAAAACCTCCAAAAACGAATTTGACTCAAGTAAAACTAAGATTTAACGGCTTAAATTAAGCATAAATAAGCTATTGTAAGCCTTCTTGCTCGCTTCCTTCGATCGAATTTATTTGTTTTTTTTTTCTGATAACTGAGAAACTTTTTGAAAACTGTTTTTAGTTTTCATGGTCGGAAAAAAAAATCGAGTATACAAAATCGAGTTAGCAATTGTACAACCAAACTTAATAAACAAATTTTGAATTGAACGGTTACTTAAATGCAATCATGCTTCAAATCAACAGGTCTGATGGCAGTCAATAATCTGTCGTAAGTTAACCAGAGCCAGGCCGAAAGAGATGGCTCCTAATAACGAAGTTGTTCGCGGGAAAAAAGTCTAGCACCCATTTGCAAGATCTTGCTTTTCCAAGTGTTAATATAACACAATGATACACTTACGCTCCTTTTGTATAAACACACATAGCCAACAGGCGGCAGCAAAAAGGTGAAAAAAAAGAAACCGAAAAAGCTGGACTTAAACTTTTTAACATTTCGAATGTCCCCTGAAAAGAACGAAAAAATCTCGACCGATATCACTTCGTTCATTTAGACTTTGGTATAAAAATTTGGTATAAAAATGGACCGCCTGTCACAAATTTATACTTCGCCAATGATGTCAACTAAATCAGTGCTTGAAGCCGAAAATAAAATTGATTTATTGCGCCATTTTTTCTTGTCATTAATGATAACGAACCACATATTTCACATAGTTAAAAATTACATCAGTTATACAGTCATGTTATTTGAATGAAAAGAATTAGAAGAAAACTAAATTCAGAAGCAAGATCTATTCCTCTAAATCAAAAAAAATGTCAAACTTATTGATGCATTTATTTTCACAGTCTGCCATACTCTTCATCCCTCCTTCCCCTGGTTGATTTTCTATGACAAACAATCTCTCTCCCTCTCTCTACTTGACACAATATCTCCTGTGTCCCCCAACACACCCCCCTGTTTCACCAGACTGGGATCCCCAGTGTTGTAACTGACACTGTACATTGCAATAGAACGCATTGCGGCAGTGACCACATATCTTCTGTGCCGGCTGCCCGCACTGGAAACAATATCTGCCTCTCACTACCAGAGATCCGTCCTCTTTACTCTCCGGCTGCTGGTGGTGTCCTGGAACTCCACTACTACCTCCGGCTACACTCGTTGAACTAAATGACGTCGCAGTCGCGTTTGGCGATGCCGGCCTATATTTACAACACTCATTAGCCTGTTTTTTCATATCATATTTCGATCCACTATCGTCATGTCCATGTGTGGACTTGGTTGTACGGGTCAAGGCTAATGAAAGTGAGTCGCATGCCTGGTTCCTTTTCAGCACATTGCCCTTTAGTGTGAGCTTGTTGGGTCTGCGGTGCTTCGGGGCTCTCATCTGGAAGGCATGGCCGACATTGTCTCTCACAACACACCCTTCTATCTCCAGTGAGGAAACTGTGAGAATAGATATTGCAGGGGAGTGGCCTCGTTTAGTCAGGTAGCCACGCCCAGATTTCGTGATCTGAACATGATCAGAATGAATACTATTAAATGATTTCCCAAGCAGGCTTCTGTCTTTTAGATTAAGGAATCTGTGAAAGCAAATATCTGTAAACCTTTACAATTAAGGAACGGGATAACACGGAAACATGTTACCATTCGCTACCCATTTCATTATGGCAGGGGGTGGATCTAGTATTAAGGCAGGGGTGGATCTTCATTAAGGCAGGGGTGGATCTAGCATTTCTCTAGAAGGCGGATTTTCAAAAAAAAAGAAGGTCGGCCAAACTGATTTTCCGTGCCTTCTCAAAACATCATAAAAACTGATAAATATCTTCTGAGCCGCAGAGATCAAAGTATTTACAGCGACTCAATCAAAAAGTCTCTCAGGTCGACTGAGCGATTGTACCTTGCAGTCTTTCAGAGAGATATCAATGTGTTGCACGGCAGATATGTCGGAGGCCTTGCCTAGCACCAGGCAGCTGTCCATGGCCCCAGACACGAAACACCTCCTCATTAGCAGGGTCCCAACAGATGATGGAGAGAATAGAATGGCAGGGAAGTGGGCAGTTTTCAGACAACAGTTGAACAGCAACAGGTGCACCTGACAACAACCATTCGATCACAAAAAATGAAGAAAAAAAAACAGCCAACTGACAGTTGGAAAGGTGTAATGACCTCAAGGAAACCAAATAAAACTAACTTGTTTTTCTTAAATCTCAACATTCGAAATTCGATGAAAAAAAAACAGATGGCTTTTAAGCTCTTTCAATTTTTAGAAAATTTTTTTGATGAAATTAACCCACTAAAAGAAAATTGAATCAATAGGTATTTTTTTTTATTTTTCGCTGGGAAATCTGATAATTAAACTCCATTTTCAAAACAAGAAGTCGATCACGTTTGTCGTCATCTTTACAATTTTGCTGTTCGATAGTGGAGTTTGCCTTCCTTTTAACCAACGAAATGAACAGAACAAAAAAAATCAAAACTGAGCATGAACACTTTTTAACTTTTGCCTGAAAAAAAACGAAAAATTAGCAAGACCTATATAAGAGTCTTCACTACACTACGTTCATTACTTTTAATAAGAAGAAATCCGACGTCGAAATGAGCAGTTTTAGGTAAGCTAACTTCGTTCACATCCTCACCGAAAAAATATGCCAACAATTCGGTATTAACTATAGAAGTACCTCCGCTCCTCGCACAGAGATTGGTCGGCCGTCTTGGCGAGATCTGACAGTCAGGTTTGCGAAAATATTATATATTGGAAATGGTTGGTAGAAAGAGGATCCCACGTCCAAGAGACCTCCATCTGTCGAACACAGCTCCGAGTAGCGAGAGGTGCCGACAACATCTAGTTCGTGGATGCCATTATTCACTCCGTAAAGCTCTACACTTGGGACTACGAAAATAGAGCGCACTTGCCAGCCACAGTAATAGTTCCCTAAACAAATATTACCTATAAGCTGTAGTTTAGTTCTGCAATGCTGAACTAAATAATGGTTAGCACAGAGGATCTTGTTAGCTATCCCGCCCCCCCCCCCCCTGGTACTTCGTAACGAATGAATCCACATTTAAGAAAGAATCGCACATTTAAGCATGCACGAATTTTGTACCTTGTTAATTATCCCCCCCTTTTGCAATAGCGGGGGGGATAGTTATTAAGATCCGCACAGGTAATGGTTAGCACAAGTATCAAATAATGGTTAGCACAACTAATGATTAGCACAAATATAAAAAAACGCTAGCACCGAATTGACCCAAGACTATGGAGCGGCTGCTGAAAATTCCTTAAAAATTTCACCACTAAGGGATGGGTCGATTTCTAAAACTTAACGGAAAAACATAAAATTTTAGCGCTGTTCTTGATCAAAGTGATAGGGCCACAAACGTTTTTGGCACTTTTTTGCTACGACTTTGATACGAGGCAATGCATGCTTGGAAACAGAGCAAAAAGCTTTTACAAACTGTTCTGTTAAGAAAAAAATTAGAATTGTATTTTTCTAGTCTCAATCTATAAAACGACAATACTAAAAACGGCAAATGGTAGCCCTAAATACGACAAGAAAACAAAACTAAAAAAAAACATATTCAATCCTTCAAATAAAACTCAATTAAATATGCAACTCAATTTATTTTTTTGAGTTAAATTAGTGTCGTTATTTCTGGGTGGTGTGCTAAAAGGATCTGAACAAAAAAACTCGAAAAGGCACGTTCGACAGTCATAGTGAAATAGACAAACCGGACAACAAATTTTGAAGAAAAATGATTAGATAAGATTTGAAAAACTAGGGTAGATTTACTCGAGTGAAAATAAAATTGAGCTTATACTAAAATTGAATAAGTTATTGTAAACGGCTTAAATTAAGCATAAAGAAGCCTGCTCGCTCACTTTACTCGCTCAAAATTAGACAAAATCTGAAAACTTCAAACCGGTTTTTCTCGACACTGGGAATTTTTTTGCAAACTGTTTAAACTGACTCGAATCACGACTGAAACGGCTTTAATATGATATTTGACATCCAACCCTGCACAGGTTCAAACCCTCTAATTTTGTTGAGGTCTCCTTTCCTACCACTACGCTACCGATTCAAGACACCTTGAAGCTTACGTGCTATTTGTAACATAATAGTCTGTGTTAATATCGTTAGTGGCTGTATTTAACAGTTGGTTATTGATCAAAATGAACACTTTCAAAATCACACTAATATTTGCGGCTTAAGTTGGAAAAAAAGAGTTCATACGATCACGCAAGCTTTGCTTGTGTAAACACACCTTAATACAAAGTTCCTAACCATTTTCAATGGTCGTAGCAATATGGAAGGGATAACCAAATTCTGAGCAAGTAGCGCAAAATTCTGCCTACCATTTAGTAAAGAAATCCACAAATAACAGAAAAAAAAATCAAATAGTTTTGTTGTTGCATTTTTTCTGTAATGGACGATGAAACTAGGTAGAAAATGCAAGATGAGAAGTAAATACTGCCGAAAATACGTTGAAATTGCGGTATAATAAAATTGAGCGTCATAAAAAATGAATTGTTAGTGTCACTAAAACTCTTAAATTCAATTAGTCTGAAAACCAGAAAATCTCAGACCACAGGCATACTTTTCTCGACACCGGCATACTTTTGAGCTATTTTTTTGAATCCAAATCACACATGGAAGTGCTTCAATATGACACTGCACACATTAGCTCGCCTCGATTCAATTTGGAAATATTCATTGAACATGCATAAATTTTTTGCAGTGAAAGAAGTTGTCTACGCATTGAGCATCATACATCGTGAATAAAAAACCAGAAGTTGGTCAAGAAAAATTACATTTTTGAAACTTTCAAACTTTGAAGAGAATGAGAAACAAACAAACAGCACCAAAAAAAGCTCATTTATTTTTCGAAAACTATAAAGCAGCAATTTCAGTCACACGTTCTACTGTCGAAAAAAATGGAAAACTAAGGCCTTAGTGTAGATTTGCTAGCGACAGGCAACAACTTTAAAACGAGACAACTGAAAATGTATCGGATGTCTTCAATGTAGCTTTGCATTATACATATACAACAGAGTTGTAAAAAAGACTCACTTTTTTGAAGCCTTTCCAAAAAATATGCGGCCTTGAGATTTGAATTTTTAAGATCTTAGACTAATAAGGAAAACTAAATAAAAAATGTTCTTTAATCAATTGGAAAACCTGGAAACTATACAGAGGCAAAGAGGAGCTGCTTCTCATTATTTGCGATATAACGGAAACAAATAATTGGAATCAAGCCAACGGCAAATAAGACAAAAGCAACAAAAACGATAAAAAAAATTATCTAATTAGAAAAAAAAACACTACCAACGGTCCAGAACAATTGTATGCGATGAAGTTCTATTCGAGAAACACAAATATAGGGATTTAATAATCATTCAAACAAATATTACCGAGCGGTAACAAAGTCCTCAAAGCTTGTTAAAAAAATAAGGTCATTTATATTTTTGTTATTGGAGAGCTTGACTTTTCTTCTAGCTTGACTTTTCTAAACAGAGGCAATGCGGAGCTTCGGAAAAGTTACAAACACAAACAGCATGGTACACTATCGGCTAAAACAAATAAGAAGGAAGTCTCAATAGCGGAAAAACTTTCAATGTCGGAAAAAACTATATATATATTAAATATTTGTTTATCTCGACTTAACTTTATAACAAAAATAATTTCAAAACATACTCAAATATAAAAACTGAAGGTTGAGTTGGTTTCGGCGCAAAACTTACGGAGCGGCAACAATGGAGACAATGCTACAGCAGACAACCGTTGAGTCAAAATAAAAAAATTTCCAAAAAATTCATGTACCCCATCAAAACACATACAAGCGTCAAAACAAAACTTGCCGATGAAGCGACGCAATATGAGACCACAAAAACAATTCAAAAGTGCCTTTCAAGTACAATAAATAAAGAAAAACAAAAAAACTGAAATTATACCAAATCGAAGCTCGTAAAATTAAACAAAAATAAAAACAAAATTCGAGGAGAACGGGTATTTAAAATGCAGACATGGTAAAAAACTGTCGGTTGATTGACCAAAAACAGATTTCGGAAAATGATTCAATAACTCGGTAAGACAAGTTGATTACATGGAAACAAGTGTGTTCCTATTTGATAGCACTTGCTAATCCAAAGCGAAAGAGGTCAGAAGTCAATTATGAAAAAAGAGCTCGAACTACTTTTAGAATTCTTTCCTGAAAACACCTCACACGACCCTAATAAGTGTCTTCTCTTGGTTCACTGACACGTAAGCTTTATTTATGAAAGCTTCTAGTGGTTATGGGCGCAGAGCACCCAGTTCACAGAAACCATTACCACTTGTTTGTATTCCTATTTTAATTATTTTTATTTTAAGAAATATATCACAGTGGTTATTGTTGCTACCTGGGTACAAAAGGATGATGTCCCCGTGGCTGGGAAAGAAATTACTCTCGAAGAAAGAGTCTGAATAGTAGATCACTTTGAAGCCCCCTCCCCCTCCATCTGCAGAGGCATCAGTCGTTGTCCCCTTGTGCCCCTCTTCTCGCGGCACACGCTCAGGCCGGTGGATTTCGTAGCCTGAAACAGCTAATTCCAGTTTATAAAGCAGCAACTTTAAAAACCCAAGGAAACATTTCAATCGTTTCATTTAGGAATCCTGCTTACATACACATGGCAGCAAACATACAATTTAGTAAATAGGTAGGTCAGCAAGCTAATAAAACCGACAAAATCATTATTAAAAAAGCGAAAAATAAATGTGAAAACTTAGACATGAATTTAACAAAATAGACTCTTGGAAAAAATCGTTATATTGATTACTGGCTTCACGATTCTCTCGTAGCTTCTTTTCATTGGAAATGAATTGCAGGAAAGCTTTGGGTGCTGAATGACTAATATCGGGCAGCCATTCATGGGTGATTTCGTAGATCCCCTGTGATTTCCTGATAGGCAATCTAACCATAGCTCGTCTATCTGAGCAATATGTAGTAGTCCGATCCAAATGTCGGATACACTCAAGCTTGTTTCATGAGTGTTGAGATTCTGGAGATGAAGGAATATCTTCAATTTTCCAGATTCTCTCAAATTTAAAGGACTGACCATCAAGAAAGTTGATTTCATACAGTGGCCAGTGTTTTCGTGTTAGGACTTCGTGGTCGATATCAGCAAAAACTGAGACTCTCCAACCAAGCACCGTGTCAGTTAACAGTATAGTTCCTTCATGACATTCCGTGACTTCACAATGTGTAGACGGATTGGCAAAGCAGGAGATCAATTTTATTAGGCTGGTCGCAAGCTGGTTTGGCTCAGTTGTACTTGCTGATAGTTTGTAGCGCTGTGGCTGTGATTTGTGTAATTGACTTCTCGTGATCCGTGATGTTTCCCAAAACCGCACAAGAAGCTTCGAAATTGTTATCAGACTTTGCAGAACTGTGAGATTCATTAGACCATGAGAAGACATAGCGCATTCTGGTTCACTCCAATTATGCCATCTGGATCTTCTATTGGTTCGATACCAAGGCCTAAAGGGCGATGACGTTCTTCTGAGCGAAATTGTCAGCGAGCCCTCCCAAGTGATGAAATCGATCGTTCTGAGATCGAAGTTTGAAGAACTGCAATGGTTCCAGTTCGGTTGATTTGAAGAGCATCTATGGTCACCGTGAGATGAGGATTAGGTTGGCTAGAGCTGCCATGAAGATTTGTATTTGACATGTCGCACAGTGATGTTTAAGGGCACACAAACAATTGGAGCACATCCTATTGCTGGTCACTACAAAGTTCTTTCGTTCTGATTGCGTCAACGATCTGTATGTCTCACACTGCCAAATTGATGTCTGTCTTGGCAGATTTGAACTTTACACTGTGGTAAAGAGAATCCATTCTTATGAGATCGGTTCGTTTCTTTCAAAACATCTGCAGCTTAAGCTCCAATTTCTGAGGTCGAGAATGAGATCTTTCAACAACCTCTGAAGACCTGAGTCGATCGAAGTCAAGAGCGTCAGTCCTATCATTAGTAGTTATCCATGCCTTCAGATTCATGATCAAAACTTTTGAAAAAAAAAATGCCACAAATCATTTTCGACTGATCGTTTAAGTGCCTTAATTGATTGCAAAGCCTCATTGAGGACTGAGTGTAGCTGACGCAGCTGCGATTTGTTATCCGTTCATACTGCAGTAAAACCCTGAGCCCTTGACAGGAGCTTGCGATGGATGACTCGATCATTTTTAAACTCTGCTCTAGCACTGACGCGCTACCTCGTAATTGATTTCTGTCGTCTCCAACTTCGTGGTGAGTTTAAAAGCATGTCTCGTGAGATACATCAATTTCTGACAGCTTCTCAATGTCATGGACGGTTGGTTGAAATTGATCAATGATGCTTAGCCAGGTAGTGAAATTTCCATTGAAGTTAGGCAGAATCAGCTGCAGCAATCTTGGTGTGATCTTTTTAGATTCGATATGTGTAGATGCAAGGTGGTTGATAGGCTGACTGAAAGCAGCTTTCATTCTCTTTGCGGCTGAAAGAGTTTGGCGAGCGGCTTTCTGTGTTTCCGGATATTGATCAAATAGTTTGTCGCATTTTGCATCAACGGTAATAGCGTCAAGCTGCTCGTGATCAGCAATTGAGGATTGAGCCAAGCAATGCTCAAGCTGGGCTGTTTCATCGCTCAACCCGTCTTGGTTGCGATTGAGGCTAGCACAAAGGTAGCTGACTTGAGAAACTTGGAATTAAAAAACTCGCAGACAACTTCTGTTAGCTCGTTTAAGCTTCTCTATAGCTGCTGGTGTTTGATTTCTGTAGTCGGCTCAGTAAGTGTACTTAGCTTCCTTAGGTTATGAGGCGGACCAGAACGAATACTTTGCGATAGCTGCAAAGCCACTGTATCATATGAAAATTGAATTAAGGATGATTTAGTTGCTATAAATTGCGGGTGAAGGAAATGAATAAATTATGGAAAAATTACCATGCGTTTGAAATTGATTTAAATTGAGTCTGCAGTGGAACAAATTATCTGATAATTTAAAACATGCTTTGTTGCCAACATGCTGTAATAAAAAACTAATTTAGAAACAAGAAATAAATCGATTATAGAAAATGTTCGTTTTTATTCATGAAAACAGGTAATGGAAAACGTGTTCTCCGTGTTTCCGTTTCTGGCATTCGCTTTTCTGAAGACTGAAGCCAGTCTAGTCTAAATACCAATCCTTCTGCTCGATCTTTTTTTTTCAGTTCAAGTACAGTATCTTCCACTCACCAAGTGCACACTCATGGAGATATAGTTCCTCTTGAAAGTTATCAATTGTTAAAACTTATAGCTTCTAAAGTGTACGATAAAAAGTCAGGGAAAAATTATGCTGGAGCACAATGTCGTGTAACCTACAATTTTTGTTTAAAGTGCACCCTAATTAAAAGTATATTCAATATCAGAAAGTCTATAACATCTACTAACCCTCAGGAGCATTAATCCAGGATGCACAAGCTCCTACGACATGAATAACACTAGTTGACGTTCTCTGACACCACTTGCCTGGATTCGGCAGATTATTGATTGACTTGGTAAGATCAGTGGGATCCCAAAAGATTGTTTCTAATTTTTTCGTATCTAACAAGGCGGAATTTCTAGAATACTTTAGTAATTTAGTGGAGCAAACAAGTTTTAATTCTTTTAATATGCCGACTATTTCGACTTCATCGCGGACTGTGAGGTCAAACAAAATCGGTATTTCAGACAGATTGTCAATAGCCGTTTGGTTTAAAATGACATATTTGAGAACCAACTTGGCTAGATCATCGTGGCACAGACGACAGAAAGTTTGAAGAACGTCCTCCCAAAAACTCCGTTTGCTGGTTGGGCAAACAGATGGTTTGAACGTCTTGATTACTACATTTACAGTCACAAATTCGTTGTAAGTCTGACTAAAAGCATTTTCGTCCGTTGTCACTTCTTGAGTTGTAATTATTACAGATCTGAATACTGAAAACGAATTCTCATTCCCAACATGTTTCATGCGTCCTGAAAAATAACTTAACTAAAATTGATCAATGAAGATAAAAACTTAGGCAGTCAACTTACAAAATTATCTATCAAAACCTTTTTACGTCTAAATTTCAATGTTTCGCCAACGTAAGCTTGTCTATTTTTTTAGAGGTTACAAAAGGGGCCCTTTCGTTTTGTTACGGTCAGTGCACAAGCTGGATAGAGCCATACCAAGTCAAGTCAAGTCAAGTTCTTATGACCATTAGGCAGTGCCTCTTGTGGTCATTTCAAATGTTTTTTTCCTATCTCCGTTCGAATTCGTACATGTCAATTCCAATCGCTTTCCAATGTTTGTCCAGTTTCCACTTGAATTCGTCGATGGTCTTGCTTTGCACTGTTTCCTGTGGCAGATTGTTCCAGTCGAGAGGTGCTCTAATTGTGAAGAAATTTTTTCGCATTTCTAGATTTGCTTTACGTACTACTACTCAGGCATTTCGGGACCCGACATTTTTCAAACCCGAAACCCGATTACCCGATAAGCTAAAACCCGAACCCGAACCCGACGGTTTCTTCAAACCCGAACCCGACATTCATTTCAAACCCGAAACCCGGCCCGAAACCCGAAAAAGATCTCAAAACCCGATTACCCGACCCGATACCCGACATGCCCGATTTTCAGGTAGATTAAATGGTATGAACGTTGACGCAATAAATTTGATGCGTTTTTAGAGTGTAACTTTCTCTTACAGTGAACAATAAAAATAGCTGTAAAAACAATAATTATGCAATAAATGTGTATTAAAATGGGAATGTATATAGAAAACAAAAAAGTTCAACGGAAATATAAAGCTGTATTATTATGAAATGGGAACGTACAAGTACGTATTAAACGCATTCCTCGGTGAAACCGAAAAAAGCAAACAAAAGTCGGGTTTTAGAAATCCGACATAATTGAATACCCGAACCCGAAAATTTGTTGAACCCGAAACCCGACCCGAAACCCGAAATTTGTCTCAAAACCCGAAAACCCGACCCAATTCCCGAAAACCCGAACCCGAAATGCCTGCTACTACTTTACATCCGTTACCTCTAGAATCCCTATCATTCCGCTCGAATAGTCCCGCAGTGGCATTCCTATCATACAAACCATAGCAGATTTTATACATTTCTATCATTGTCCCTCTTTTCCTTCTGTATTCCAGCGATGATAGATTCAGTTCTTTAAGGCGTTCGTAATAGGATAGATTTTTCATACCACTAACTAGACGCGTCGCTCTTCTTTGTACGTTTTCTAAGATATTTTGATGCTTGATCAGTCTTGGGTGCCAGATTAAGTTCGCAAATTCAAGGTGTGGCCGTATCAAGCATTTGTAGATGTTTAAAAATACTTGTTTCGTGACTTTAGTGAAGCTTTTCTTAACTACTGCTATCATACCGTTTGCCTTATTGGCTTTTTTAGTGATGGGTGGTTCGAATGTCAGTTTGTTGTCAAGCCAGATACCCAGGTCTTTTTCGAGTTGCACTTTAACGTTTTCGCCATTGATTTTATAAATCCTCTCCATATCCAATTTCTTGTTTCCTATTGTCATGTGAACACATTTGTCGATATTAAAGAAGAAAAGACTTTGGCCGGACCAAGTTTCTAGTGATTGTAAATCTTCATGTATGCGTGTTACATCCGATTTGTCTTCAATTTGATGGTATAATTCCGCATCGTCAGCAAACAGAAATAGATTTGACACTATTTTGTCCGGCATTGTGTTGATGTATATCAAAAACAGTACTGGGCCGAGTACTGAACCCTGGGGTATCCCACTTTTTACTGGCTGCCATGAGGATCTTGAATCGTTGATTACCACTCTCTGTTGTCGTCCCGAAAGAAAGTCTGTTATCCAGTTCAAGGTTCTTCTAGTTACTCCATACTGCCTAAGAACTCCGATTAGTCTTGGCTTTTTTGAAGTCCAAGTATATCACGTCGACATTTTCATGTTTGTCCATTGCCCTGGTGGAGTCATCAATTACTTTCAGGAGTTGTTAGTTCAGTGAACGTCCAGATCGAAAACCGTATTGTGCATTTGTTATTAGCCCTTTTTCAATGAAATGATCCATTAAATGCTTTCGAACAAATTTTTCGAATAACTTGCAACATTGTTTAACTGATTGGTCTGTAGTTATCTGCCATCGATTTTTTTACTTTTTTTAAATATTGCAGAAATGTAAGCCAACTTCCAGTCTCCGGGTAATTTGTTTGTCTCCCAAGAGGTTTCGAAAATAATCAAAAGTGGTTTTAAGATGATTTCCCGTACTTCAAATGTGACCCTAGGATGAACTCCATCTGGTCCAGGCGACTTTGAAGTGTCTAACCGATTGAGTTCTTCTCGGATGTCATTCATATTTAGCTCCAGGTTGTCATCAATGCTGGCGGTTGGTGGAGGGCTAATCTCCCAGTTACCCGGGGGTTCGTCAGTGAAAACCGATGCAAAGAAATTTGAGAGCAGTTCTGCCTTTTCGTCGTCTGTGTCAGTTAGCATACCATTTGGTTTTATTAAAGCGGGGATTGCTTCTCTTGTGGTAGTTTTTTGGCGCGCGTAACTCCAGAACTTTTTCGGATTAGTTTTAACTTCTGATGATATTTCTTTTTCACGTGTGAGTGCCTCCGATCGCGTGGCAGATCTAACTTCATTTCGTTTGGTTTTACATTTGGTTAAATTGTCGGCTGTTTGATAATTTTTGAAAGTTTTCCAGTCTTTATTCTTTTCTTTTATCTTCATGCGCACCGCCCTTGCTAGCCGCATTTGGTTGCCACTGTTGCGTATCTTAATTAAAGGCACGAATTTTTCGACTAACTCTTTCATGCAGTTTTTCAGTTTTTCCCATGTGTTTAACTGAACGTTTGGGTCAGCTAGATGGTTTCTCATCCCGTGGTAGTCTCCCTTTTCATAGTTTCTGCGGTTTTTACATTTCGATTTAATCCTGTTTACTGGCACATCTATCTTGACAAGGACGTGGTCTTTTTTCCGATTGGCGCCTCTAACGTGATGTCTAGATCTTTTAAGACTATATCTGACATCACAACATCAAACAGTGATGCCTTGTCTCTACCAGTTAGCCTTGTAGGCTCTTTGATATGTTGCGTTAGTAGTGCGTCTTTTATTGCCTCTATAAAGGTGAACTCAGTGTTATAAAAAAGCTTATCTCTCAGCAAGCTGTATCGTTGTATCAATGAAGTCATATAACAGCAATATATGCATCGTCCTAATGTTAATTTGTCTTAGCTGTCTTTCCTCTACAATAGCGGTTATAGAGGTGTCGATAAATTGAACTTTGCGAGCGATCTGCATTCTTTTACTGTGAAAAATGAAAACGTGTCTCTAATTGGGTGCTTCGGACCCATTATCAACATTTGATATACCCATCCCGGCAATTCAATGTAATCGAGAACCTTAACTGATGTATCATTACTCCCACCAAGCGGTATATCTTATCTCTTGGACAAGTTTTCTAACCTTTGTAAACGATTTTCTGCTGTTATGTTCAAGCTTGCATCGGTTTGCCGCTCCACGAAAGGGAAAATGGATTCCAACAACTTCACCTATTTCTACTTGCTTTCTAACATTCATTCACTTGCGTCACACCTGAGGTGAAGAATGACCCACTCTATAATCATTGGCTCAAGGGCCAGCAGAGATACTATCTCTCGTACTTTTCTACCCCAACCAGAGGTACAAACCGACAACGTAATAACCCTACTAGAGGCTAGGGAGCCTGCTATCATTACGTCCTACAAAGCTGCTTACCGGCAGCCCATGGAACGAGCGTCAGACCGCCTAGTCGCTTCTGATTGGTTCAGTAGAGTCGTCGTGGCTCTCAAACAGAAGAAATCTGAGCAGAAGAAAAGCTCTGCCTGAGGAGGGCTTTGCGATTTGATTGCCTAGAAAATCTTGAGGCAGTTTTGGTGCCAGAAAAGGCATGCCAACCAACTTCGGTAACGTCTATTTCGCTTTCAAACCAACTTCGGTAACGTCTATTCCGAATTTCAAAGTTCGCAAATTTCAAAGTCTAATCGAACTCCTATCGCAATTTCGAGTAGTTGGCTTTGATAGTTTTAGCCTTACATTATAGCATGTTCAACCAAATCTATATCAGAATGCGTTGAAGCTTTATGTCGATTAGTTCGAGCTTTAAAATCAAGTCTGCAACATTGCTAACAAAAATGTCTCAGTATATATATTTTTTAAATTTCGTTTTCTGGAGCCATTTCCATTTTTCTAAATTCAAAACATCGTTTTAACGCATCAATAAAAAGAGTTTTTTTATTTCACTACTATAAACAGTCAAGCACTCCTCCTTCCTTTTTTCAACAGTTGACCGGTGTCATCTGCAGACATTTTCGAGTGTCCCCGAGTTTTACGCTTCTTGCTCCGAGCGTCTCGTGATATCAAGGTATCTTTCGGCATCCTTTATGTGATCTTGAAGATTTTTGCAATTCTTCGAAAGATAGTGGCGGCGGATTTAAAAAACTTGATAATTTCAAGCGTTCCAATGGAACCACAATGTGGTTTTTGGTGTTAAAACCATTTATATCTTAACGTTTTGTCGTACCACAGTTTTAATTTCAAATAAAAAGGTTGAAAAAAAGCCAAACTCCCCGACTGCAAAATTTTGTCGGTTCCTTAAAATCTACGTAGTTTTATCACCATCCCACAGACTACAGTGTATTTCATTTTTTCCAACCGTACAGATGAAACTGTTTTCAATCTTTTTCGTTTGCCTTAATTGCACTCAAACGTATACTTATTTAACTCGCCCAAACAATCCAAGCTTACTTGGCTATTTTTCTCATTTTTAATTGCGTGTTCCTGATTTTCAGTGAATTGCACGTTTGTTCAGCTTACCAAATAATGGTTTTCTTCTAACTGCGCAATTTTACGTTTCCTGTCTCCTCAAATGCCTAAATTAACCATCATACGTCCATCTGGCTGCTCGAAAAATTCTTGACCCAAATACGACAGTGACGGAGCGTAGAAAAAGCACCTATTGACAA